ATCCCTCGAGGAAAACTTGCAGCAGTTGTTAGAAAAGGTAAGCTCATCTTATAGCAAATGTTTCTTTTTTTTATCCGTCGAATTTGGTTTACAAGAATTTCACATAGTTACATTTAATAATATTCTTGTATAGGTTAGTCATCTAATTACAGAATATTAATTGCTTTCGAATTTTTTTTTCTTTTCGTCAGCATAAACTTATTCTCAGAGGACCAAACATTTCAGAATCAGTCGCCAAATCTGCAAAGAAGAAATTAAAAATGCTATTGTCGACTTTCATGTTTTGTTTGACCGAGCTCGGCGTTTGGCTAGCTATGAAGGTATATATATATATATATATATTATTTGATACAAAAAAATAAAATAAATAAATAATAATAATAATTACGAATAACATTGTTTGTTTTGAGTTAGGCATCGGAGCTTTATTCTCGTCAAGAAGATGACATATTTATGTGGGATAAAATGGATATTTCCGGTGAAAGAGTCGTACAAGCTTTTAGTTTAGATGCAGTAAAGGTCTTCTCTGCATTCATGCCGTCTGGTAAAAAAAAACTATATATTTATATATATATAATATATGTATATTTATATATTTATATATATATTTTCACGTTTGTGTAGATCCACAATGGTCGGTTTGTAATGATTTAGCAGCTAGCATGAAATCTGGTTATCTTACGTCAAAAGTCATATGCCTCGTTGAAACTCTTCTTGAGTACAGGTTTGTTTAATTTTTACAGCTATTTAGCAATTTCTCGATAAAAATTTAATAATCGAAATTAACGTTTAATTTTTTACGTCTCAATTTTTTTTTTTGTTTGCACAGAGAAACGGAGGCTTTGAGGTGCATAGTATTCGTTGAACGGATTGTGACATCAATTGTTATTCGTAGTTTGTTGAATGAATTGCTCCCGTTGTATATTAATTGGAAAACCGAATATACAGCTGGCAACAATTCAAGATTGCAGTCTCAGAGTCGGAAAGAACAAAATGCAATTATCGAAGAATTCCGCAAAGGAACGGTATGCGATTTTTTACATTTTTTATTTAATTATTTATTTATTAATTGCAATTTTGATTTTTTTTTTTTTTTTGCGATCTTGATTTGACCGTTTTACCCCTGGTCACGATATGCTTTGCAGGTTAACATCATCATTGCCACTTCAATGCTCGAAGAGGGCTTAGATGTCCAAAGCTGCAATCTCGTAATTAGATTCGATCCTTCTGCCACAGTATGTAGCTTTATTCAGTCACGGGGTCGTGCTCGTATGCCAAACTCTGATTTTATACTAATGGTTAAAAGGTGAGCACTTTCAACATTGCTTCGTAAATTATTAAGAAAGAAAAGAAAAAAAAAAAAGTCGTTTAGAATTTTGGTGTTTATTGCATTTAATACCCTTGTGTTTATTCTAATTGTCAAAAAAAAAAAAAAAAAATCCCTTGTTATAAATATTAGCGAAATTCCCTCAATAATTCAATTGTATTAGCAAACAACCCCTAAAAACGTACTATTTAGGGATTATTTGCTAATATTTATAACACGGGGAGTTTTTTTTAGAATGCAATTAACTCTTGGAAAGTTGATGTAAGTAAAAACTTACAATTATCAATCCTTTAGAATTTTGGGTTTATTGCATTTAGCACCCTTCTCTTTACTCTAATTGTTAAAAATATCCCCATGTTATAAATATTAGCAAAATTCTCCTCTATGTTTTAGTTTTATTAGCAAACTGCCCCCTAAAAGATGTTCGTAACAAGTCACATTTTTTCTTTTTTTTTTAAATAATTTTTTTTGATGCGATATTATAGGGACGATCCTTCGGCCATAGCGCGTGTGAAGAACTATATAGATAGTGGAAGTACAATGAGGCAAGAATGCTTGACCCATTCCGATATTCCGTGTGAACCGCTCGGTAATACAATGCACGGTGAGCCGTGGTATCAAGTCGAAAGCACGGGTGCAATCGTAACTTTGAGGTCTAGTGTGGCTTTGCTTTACTTTTATTGCTCGAGGCTCCCTTCCGATAGGTTTGTTCTTCCAACTTCTAACTTCAAAAAAAAATATTGCTTAAAAATTTCGGAAAATTAATCGAAAACTTAAAACTTATTTTCCCGTTCTGGTTTCTTGATTTTTTTTTTTTTTTTTGCAGTTATTATAAACCTTATCCATACTTTTCACCCGACGAAGAGCTTGGGATTTGCACGCTTCACCTCCCAAATAGCTGCCCGATTAAAACAATTAATGTCGAGGGCAACACCAAATTACTAAAGCAACTTGCTTGCCTTGAAGCTTGTAAGAAGCTTCATCAAGTTGGTGCCCTAACGGATAACCTCGTTCCCGATATGGTTGAGGAAGAAAGAGATGCTAAAGAATTAGGTTTTTTTTTTCCTCGATTCATTTTGTTTGTGGGTTTTATTTTAATTTTGTTTTCGTTATTTTATTTATATTTATATAAAGTATTTTTCGGTTTCATTACAGGATCTGAACCGTACATAGACGAGCATGCAAAGTATTTCCCGCCAGAATTGATTGGCTCGTGTAGAAAAGAGTCGAAAACGCATTATCACTGCTATTTAATCGAGCTAAAAGCGAATTTCCAATACGATGTTCAGCTTCAAGAAGTTGTGTTGGCTGTTCACGAAAGGTTGGACGATGATATCGAAAAAGTCAACCTTGACTTGGACGTTGATAGGGGAAAGATAATTGTAGGGATTAAACATATTGGATACATTTCATTGGATTCCGAGCAGGTATTTTCCAAAACTTTTGAAGCTCGTTTTACATGTTCGGTCTAATATATAGCCGATGAGAAACGGTAAAAATTTACAACCATCCCCGCGATAAGGTTAAATTACGAAAACGCCCCTCTTGTTTGCATGATTACATTTACCCTTGAAGTATGTCATCGTCTAATATTGTCCCTTTTACGTCCTCAACACTAACAGAATCTTTTAGATTCCAAGAATATTTGTCCGAAAATTTCAACTTTACCCTTGTAATTTTAGTTTATTGCATTTAGTACCCCCTATGTTTTATCGAATTGCTAAATAGCTCCCTATGTCATAAATATTAGTGAAAAATCCCCTATGATGCATTTTTTAGCGCACAAACCCCTAAACGGTGCGAAATTGAATCGTGAGGGGGATTTTTTCTAATATTTATAACACAAGAGTGCTAAATGCAATAAACCCCTTGCAATTTATATATTCTTTTTATGAAGGCGAAATTTGGACATTTTTAACGGACCGTAAGTTTGAGGAGGGGTAGATGTAATTTCGTAAAAAAGTAGTAGTTTTTTTTTTTTCGTAATTTAGCCTTACATCAGGAGGGTGTGTTTGTAATTTATCAAATAAAATTTAAAAATAAAAATATTTTATTTTTGCCGTTGTATTTCTTTCTAAGACTTTTTAATTGCAGGTGGCCCTGTGTCGGAGATTCCAAATTACGCTCTTCAGGCTTCTTCTCGATCATAAACTAGACAAGCTTTACGAAGAAGACAATCAATCTTCCGAAAAAATCGATTCTTCCATATTTAATTATCTTCTTCTCCCAACTATAGGCTCGCCTCATAACACATCAATCGACTGGAAATGCATTACTTCTGTTACGTACCCCGAAAATTCTTCTAAAGACGAACACAATAATTGTTCTAGAAATGGGGGTAATGGCCCCCGCATGCATACGAAAAACGGCTCAGCGTGTCGCTGCATGCTAGATAATTCCTTAGTGTGTACCCCTCATAATGGTGTTGTGTACTGCGTTAACGGGAGTTTGGATGGTTTTAATGGTAATACGTATCTTGAACTCAAAGATGGAGAATCTATTACGTACAAAAACTATTACAAACGGACGTACGTGTTTCTTTTTTTATTTTTTATTTTTTTTTTATTTTTTTATTTTATTTTAGAGAACTCGTCTTAACTTTTATAGTAATGAATTGCAGACATGGGATCGATTTGCAATTTGAACGACAAACTCTTCTTAATGCCAAACGGATATTTACCGTGCATAACTTTCTCCAGAGATGTCGAATTTCCAGTGCAAAAGGTTTATTTTACTATATATATATATATATATATATATATATATATATATATATATATAATTTTATTTTTTAATGTTTTGCTAACTATATATGTATTTTTTTGGGTGCAGAATCAAGGAATACGACATATGAACTACCACCTGAGCTTTGCTTGATAATTATGTCGCCTATTTCAATTTCTACGTTTTATTCATTCTCGTTTCTTCCATCGATTATGCATCGAATCGAGTCGATGCTTTTAGCGTCGAGCCTGAAAAGTATGCCTTTGGATCACTGTCCTCAAAATGTTGTTATTCCAACACTCACAGTAAGTTAAATATAAGTAATATTTTTTTTTTTCCGGTGAAAAAAATAATTAATTAATTAACTAATCATAAGGTTAGTTTCCAAGGTTATTATGATAGTGACAATATTTTTTAACGTGGCGTCGAAGTTTGATTTTTGTGCACTTCAGGAATTTGAAGCACTCGTTTCATTTGATTATTCCGTGCTAATTATTCGAAAAATCGGTTAGGTTTTGGAGGCAATAACAACAAAGAAATGCCAAGAGAATATTCATTTGGAATCTTTGGAGACACTTGGAGATTCTTTTCTCAAGTACGCGGTTAGTCAACAACTCTTCAAAACGCATCAAAATCGGCACGAAGGTCTTCTTAGTCTTAAAAGAGAGAAACTTATTCGCAATACTACATTGTGCAAGCTTGGATGTGACCGCAAAATTACGGTAATATTAAAGATTATATATATATATATATATATATATATATATATATATATATATATATATATATATATATATATATTCTTTTTTTTTTTTTAATTTCTTTTTATAAAATAAAATATTAATTAATCTCAGGGATTTATTCGTAACGAGCCATTTGATCCGAAAACATGGATAATACCGGGTACTAATCATACATTACAAAACGAGCTCTTTTCGTCAACGAAAAAAATCTACATAAATGGGAGCAGGAAAATTAAAGGTAAAACCGTAGCTGACGTGGCAGAAGCATTAATCGGTGCATTTCTTAGTGCTGGAGGTGAAATTCCGGCTTTGTCCTTCATTGCATGGCTAGGTATTGATGTTGACTTTGTCAGTATACCTTATACAAGAGGCTTGTTTTTGAAACCGGAGTTGCATGTAAATATCGGACATTTGGAATCTATTTTGAACTACTCGTTTAAGGATGTTTCCCTATTGGTCGAGGCGCTGACTCATGGTTCTTATATGCGGCCCGAAATTCCAGGATGTTATCAGGTAAACAATAAACTGTTTTCTAACGCAATAATTCGATTTTTCTCCATTTCCAATATAATATTTGTTTCTTTAAGATTTTTTTAGAGCACGTTTTGCGTCTTATTTTTGAGGTGGCATTATTTTTGCATTGGTTATTACACAGTGGTTAGGGGTGGAAATTGAAACGGAATTTTCAAATTCCGCAAATTCCAATCTAATTATTTATGATTTCCGATTTTTTTGATATGTTTTGGAACGGAATCGGAATACATATTAGTCATTAGATACCGGTCCGATTCAAAATTTTCCGAACATATTTTCAAAATTTCCAAGAAAAATTCGAAAGTTACCCTTGTAATTTAATATTATTATGTATTTTATATTACAAGTGAGGTGACAAAAAAAAAAAAAAAATCAAAATTCCCGGGTTCTGGTGATTCCAATCCGAAAATTTTCGATAATGGAACAAGGTTTTTCGTTGAAATTTCCAAAGTTTTGAACTTTTTGGAAAAATATCGCAACAAAATTGTGGTTAATTTTTTGAAAAAAAATTAGAAATTTTCTGAAAATACTAATATTCCGATTTGATCCGTCCGATTTCTACCCCTAATAGTTGTCATTTATGTTTCCATTACATTCTACTATTTCCAAAAACAATCTCTAAAAAGTTCCGAAATTTTGGAAATACGTTTCTAGCTTAAGTCTCGAAAAAAATTGGGTTGCAATGAAACTTACATTTGATGCATTTTATTTTTCAATTTCTCACGGGATTTTATTTAATCAATTGTAATTATTCAGCGTCTCGAGTTTCTTGGGGATGCGGTGCTGGATTATATAATTACAGTTCACCTCTATCAAGAAAATCCCAGCCTATCTCCGGGACTTTTAACCGATCTAAGGTCTGCATCTGTGAACAATGATTGTTATGCCAACTCAGCAGTTAAGGCTGGTCTGCACAAACACATACTTCATCTTTCACCGGAGCTTCACCGACATATAAATACCGCCCTTAGCAACTTTGACGAGATAAATTCCAAATCAACTTTCGGTTGGGAATCCGAGACAACTTATCCAAAGGTAGTTTTTTTTTTTAATAGATTTTCGATTAATTTTTCGTTGAAACAATTCATCAATGAGTTTATTGCATTCAGTACCCTTGTGTTTTATTGAATTGCTAGAAAACCCCCCATGTTATAAACATTACCAAAAACACCCCTTATAATCCATTTTTTTGGCACATAACCCCCTAAAAGTGAGTTTTTGGAGGCATTTTGTCATTTGTGTTCTTAGTACGTGTATTTATGATGAATATATGTATATATAGGTACTTGGAGACGTAATAGAATCTCTAGCGGGGGCGATATTTGTCGACTCGGGTCACAATAAGGAGATTGTTTTTCAAAGTTTGAGGCCGCTTCTCGAGCCATTAGTCACACTCGAAACACTGAGGCTACATCCAGTCAGAGAGTTGAACGAATTATGTCAAAGGGAGCATTTTAATTTCCAGAAACTAGTTACTAAATTGAACGGGCTGGTATATGCTACTATAGAGGTTGAAGCGCGTGGCGTTGTGCATAAAGAAACGAGATCTGCGGCGGACAAGGACACGGCAAAAAGATTGGCGTGCAAAGACGTTTTGAAGTCTCTGAAAGAAGGCGTTTTTGCTTGAACGCGACGATTATAGTTCAAATTGTTTTCGATTAAGGTTAATTTTTGGGATTGTTAAGAGTTTATTTATTTATTTTTATTTTATTTTTAATTGTTTGTAAATCACAATTACATTTGATTTGTGTTTCTATTTGGGAAATTGCACCCTCTTGAGAGAGTGTTTGTAAAACAAAAATAAATCGTAAACATAATGCGATTTTGAAATTTATAATCAATTAATTATTTTTCGTAATTCAATCGAAATAAGGATAATTTTCGTACTTTGCTATTAAACAAAAATAAATAAATTCAAATAAAAAATAAATAATAATAATAAAATTGTAAAACAAAAATGATGTCATCCAGGAGTGTACCAGTGTATATATGAATCCCAATCAAAAGTACAAATAAAAACAGCTCGTCATTCGACGAAAATCGAGATTTATCTCATCAGTTAAAAACCTGAAACGAAAAATAACGAATCCGTTCAACATTCTGCACCAATCTCCTTGATTCTTTTCGCGTTATCGCAAACTATTTCAGTCAAGTCCTTAAGACTACAACAAGCCACTCTCTTAATCCCCCTCTCCTTCATCATCTCCCTTGTTCTAGAAACTTCCGCCCGTTTCCCCGCTAAAGCATAAACATTAACCAATAAATTGTAATGCGAAAAATTCGACGGATCTTGCTCAATCAACTCCTTCGCAATTTGCTCCCCTAAAGTCGCATCCCCTTGAAAACGGCACGACCCCAATAACCCCGCCCAAAAGGAATATTCCGGAGAAAAATCCTCGTCGGTCGGGATATTCCTTAAGATACTCACCGCCTCTTCCATTCGACCAATGTTAGCCATTAAATTAGCCATGCACCAATAATGTGCAAAATTGGGCTTCAAATGAAATAAATCGATCATTTCTGAAAAGTAATTTTTCCCGTCAGTCAATAATCCTAAGCGAGCACAAGCGCACAAAACACCAATAAAGGTCAGTTCGTCGGGGTTAATTTTATCCGCCATTTCTGAATAAAGACTAAGCCCATCGACCGGATCCCCATGAATGCAGTGACCTAAAATCATTGCATTCCAAGAAACGAGATTTTTTATCGGCATTTTATCGAAGATTTTCCGAGCAATATCGGTTCTACCGCATTTGCTATACATATCGATCATATTTGTATCTATAATCAAACTGAAATCCGTACATGCCTTGATAATGAATCCATGGATTGATTTCCCTTCCTTCAATCTATTAGACCTCGCACAAGCCGCAATTACTTGCACTTTGGTAGTGTCGTTGCTCTCGTAATTCCGCGACATCATTCTTCTGAACAACTGCAGCGCATTTCCGGGGCTGCGGAAATTCAAATACCCGGTGATCATAACATTCCAAGAAACCACGTTCTTCCTAGGCATTTCATCGAACATCTTGTGGGCTGATTCCATTTCACCAGCCTTTGCAAGACCGCCGATAACCGTGTTCCACGAAACCAAGTCTTTCACAGGCATTTCGTCGAGCACCTTACCCGCAACATCTACGAGCCGGCAGCAACCATAGAAATGAAGCAAAGAGTTCTGAACAGGCAGAACGTGGTCCACCACACCGAACTTCAGCGCGTGGCCGTGGCACATTTGCCCCAAACTCAAGCAACCCAATTTAGCGCAAGCACTAATCAATGGCGGAAAAGTGAACCCATTGGGGTAAAAATCACCCCTTCTCAGCGCTTCCGCATAAAACGACACAGCTATTTGATGGTGGTTGCTGCAAGTGTAACCCTTGATTACAGTGTTGACACAGAACGCATCGGGAAAATCGATGCACTTGAAAATCAGAAGCGTGTAGCACAAATCGTCGATTAAACTCGACGAGAGCTTCAAAAGGCGGCCGGAGAAAGATGGGTCTTGGAAAACACCGGAAGTAATCAATTGGGCTTGGATTTGAAAGAGATGGATTTTGTTCTTACAGCAATTGAGAAAGTAAAGAGCTTTATTGCCGACACTGTCCGATGAAGAGGTACTTTTGTTCACGTCTGAAGAAGAAGAAGAAGAAGAAGAAGAAGAAGAAGAGGAGAGAGAAGAAAGGAAGAATGGCTTAGAGGGCTGTGAGAAGAGAGGGCTTCTGAATCGGAGGAGCTTTGCCATTCATCGGCTGTTACGCGGTTGAGATGCGGAGGAATATTCCGTTCCATTTCCGCCATTGGCAGCGCTCATTTCGACGAGGGTGGTGAGTTTGACGGAGGAGAATGGGAATTTGTGTTTTGCCATTTCTGCCCTTCATCAAATTCTTACTTTGACTTCTCTTCATTTTTAGGGTAAATTACAAAGTAAGGTCAAATTACGGAAAAACCCCTTATGTTTGAATAACTATATTTCTTCAACTATGGTGTCAAATTCAACGGAATCTTCTAAATTTTGTGGAATGTACTTCAGTTTGTACTCGTTTTGTGCAACAATGCAGTTTTCTGATGCACCACAATCTAATATATACAAGCCAAAAAAACGCATCTTATGATCATCTTGCTTCAAAATGTGGACCTCTAATGAGATACAACGGGTACAAATTTGAGAACATTCCATATAATCTAGAAGATTTCTGATGATGCAAAAATGTAGATCACCTAGGGTATTGTAGAAAACGAGCTGGGAGAGCAAAGCGGATCAGTAGCTCGTCAACTTGATGATCCTGAGGTCCCTGCGAAATGAGCAAACGTGAACTAAGTCGGGGGTTGATCCGGCGGAAACCCTTCCGACGCTCAAGTCAGATGTACAGATCGTGGAGATAGTAGAGAGAATAAAACTCTAGTTTGATTGCGAATAATTAGAACGTACATTTACAAATGAGTAAAACATCTATTTATATGTCGTAGATTGGGTTGGGCTTACTCTGTTGGGTCCAAGCCTTACTTTGAAGGTGCTTGGGCTTTCGTGTATTGGGCCCAATTGTAAGTGATTGGGCTTTCGTATATTGGGCCTAGTTATTAGATAATTTAAGGCCCATTGGGTCGGCCCGATTAAGTATATCATTAATTTCAATAAATTTGACAGTGGACGTGTAAGAAGATTCATAGTTGAGGGGTAGTTGTAATTATCCAAACATGAGAGAGTTTTTCATAATTTGACATTACTTCAGGGGTGACCGTAATTTACCCTATTTTTTTATTAAATTAAAAAAATATTAAATTATCGATCTAATAATTTGGTACGTTTTTACTTAATTGAGACCAAAATAAATTATTATTTAAATGGGATTATTTATTTATCGAGTTTTTACTGGATTTATGTATATAAACCTCTTGAGTTGTTGATGAATTATTATGGAATTTCTTGCCATTATTTATTCGATTTTCTGTATTTTCAAAAAAAATTGTCATGCATTAAAACCTCTATAAACTAATATAATTAGAAATAACTAAATTCCTATTAATTTAGCATAAATATTATATTATTGAATTAATAATTTAGTACGTGGTGAATGATCTGTGATCGGAAGAAATTATTATATTTATTTTCTGAAGCATTAGCTTATGGAGGTTTTACTGTATTTTATTATTAAAACTATTTTCCTGGTTTTCTTAAATTTTACATAAAATAAGAGTAGCTCTCTTAAATTTTACATAAAATAAAATCTTTTGAACATTTATTTTGTATATTTGATTTTAAAACAAAATATTATTCAATGTATTTTATCTGCAAAAAAAAAAGGAACAAAAAAAAAGGGGGGGTTTATGCAGATCATTTGTTAATATACATGGGAGCTTATTGTAATATAATTAATACAAAGGGGTTTTCCACAAAATAAATAGAGTCGCGTAGTGTAGCCAAAAACGTGGAGAAAGTAGCAACTTCAGTTTTAATTAGAATTTGCGAGATATAAAAAGCAGCTTATCTTTGATTTCTGGTGTCTTCTCTCTCCTCTCTCTCTCTCTCTCTCTCACTCATGCTCAACAACAATGGAGGGGGTTTCAATTGCCCTGAGCTACACAACACCTCCTTCATTTTTTATTCCGAAATCAGTAAATTCAGTACTCTTCAACCCCACCCCGCGCACGCCGCTTAGATTTTCTCGGCCATCGCCGCCGCCGCCGCCGCCTCCTCTCTCATTATCAAGCTACTGCTGCTGCTTCTGTAATCGCTCTTCACAATTCTCACCCTTTCACTTTTCATCACCAAATGGTAATTCCTTCTCTCTCTCTCTCTCTCTCTCTCTCTCTCTCTCTCTCTCTCTCTGCATATTAGATTGTGTATTTCGTGATTTTGCAGCAAAATGAAACGTGGATTCTCTCTCTCTCTGCATATTAGATTGTGTATTTCGTGATTTTGCAGCAAAATGAAACGTGGATTTCTGTATTTGGTTGCTTTGAAATCTATAACTTGTTGCTTTGTCATGGATTTGATAGTTTCTCATCCTTGTATTTTAATTGGTAATTCTATTTTTTAATTCGATTCAATGGCGGGAAATGCTTAAGGAGAGGGTCTGATATCTGAGGTTTTATTGTGATATTAGTTATCCCAATTGCTCAGTTATGGAAACCACATATATCTTTCCTTTGAATTTTATCTGTCTGATGTTATGTTTATAATTGAGTTTGATTACCACTTAGGTGCATTTGTTTGTGCTTCCATGTTCGTCGCCTTTACTCGATAGTCGATACCGAATTGCTTAAGATTGTATTTTCATCTTCAAACCCCGATGTAACTTTCACAAGTTCTTCTTTCCAATTTGAATTTGTCAGGGCCATCTTTGTTTCTTATTTAAATTTGCATGTCTTTTACTTTTATACTATTCATCAGCCAGTTGAAATTAAAATTATGACATTTCTCTTGACCATTTTGTCCTTGATAATTTTCGAATGAAGGATTCAAAGCCCTGTTAGCAACACCCGAGGCGGGAGTAAGTACTGAAACAAGCGAATGGGCAATGCAAGGTACCACTAAAATCTCAATATATATTATGTGTGTGTGTGTGTGTGTGTGTGTGACTTTACTACATGCTTGTTGTTTCTTCATTGTTGTGAACATATAAGTGTCCGGAAAATCAGCATCCGAAGATGTAAGATTATATCGAGTAAGAACACGTGCATCTAATATAGTGCCTCCTAATTTTCTCCATAATCTTGAAAAAAAAAATTTAAGCAGAACCAAGGTGTTGTGTAGTTTAATTCTATTAGTCCATGTAAATTGCTAATATTTTTTAATGTAGTTCACCATAATGCAGTCAACAGTTCCTAAAACATCAAGAAATCCAGCGTTATATATATATATATATATATATATATATATATATATATATATATATATATATATATATATATATATATATATATACACACTCAACTCAATGATAAATAAAAATCTATTACGAGCCTGATATAATCTGTAATATTATTTACAGATTTCTATACTTTGAGGAAAGAAGTCGAAACTATATCCATACGTGTCGAAGAAATCAGAATAAAATATTTTAGTGGAACTTAGTAAGTCACAAGTTCGTGAAACGATTTGCAATACTAATTGGAGTTGAACAATCACAAAATAATTTTTTTATTGGATATATGGAAGCACTGTCTATTGCAATACTTGTGATTTTTACCTCGGAAGAACCTTTCTGTTCTGAGGTACTTGCTTCTGCGTTAGTTGAGGTCTTCACAGGCCCGGGGCAAACAACAGTTACCTTGATCCCCTTTCGACAAAGCTGAAATTAAAAAAAAAATAGAAATATTAAATTTGGTGAATAATTTGCTAATTAAAATTCTTTTCAAATAAATAGCACTCGAGTAGTCTATCAATTTTTGTTCATTAAATTTGGAAGGTCAAAGGAAGGTTTATCCGTTAGCATCACGTAATGAACATACTCGAATCAACGTCGATAAAGAAGCAGTTTCAATTAAAAATAGTGGTCGTAAAAACAACTAAGTTGGACTGAAACTTTATAAAAATAATTCATAGAGAAAATAAGGGTAAACGATACCTCGGACCGCAGCGTATGAAAATAGCCGTTTAGAGCAGATTTGGAGGCGGAGTACATAGCTTGACCAGGTGCAGGTGCCTTCCCTGCAGCACTGCTCATCTACATACAAGACGAAAGAATTTGAGAAGGCAAAAAATTATTCAAATTTTATTTCGTTTGCTGAACAACAATCAAGTCGAGGATATTTAAAAAAAAACTATGTGTTGGGGTATAAACAATAATTTCGACAATCTACTCAAGAATCGAAGGCACAAAAACATACCAGAACAAAATGTCCTCTGCCCCGCTTCAGCATGTGAGGTGCCAGGAGTCGTGTGAGAGATATTGGCCCCACAACATTGACATCAAACGTCGCCTAATGGAAAAAAAACAGATTTTTAAAGTGAGTACTTCCCTCGAGAAGCTCTTCTGATAAAAAAAAAATTAAAAAAAAAAAAAAAAACACACACACACACACACGCACACACAAGAAAAGCTTTATATTTCATTTTCACAAATAAGGAAACAGTAAAATCAGACTACAGACAACCATTGTGTAGTAATACACATAGTAATCATTTTAGTGTAAATGATTTGTTTGTGGAAGATAGAGTGCGAAAATAGTTTAAACTTTAAAAGATGATTAGACAAATATTAACGATCCTTTACCAGCATACGATACCTTGAGACTTTCTTCTGTCACGTCTATTGCCATTGATTTCTGCAGGACGAACAAAGTCAAATAACCAGCTCCAATCAAATTTTCATTAATTCAACTTTTTAATTGAGTAGAAAATATATCAACCCAAAAAAAAAAAAAAGTGCAGATTTCTAATACTCGAATAAATTGAATATTGACCATAGCAACATGGATTTACTTACAGGGCGTTCATATGCGGCATTGTGGAACATGTAATCCACGCCTGCACCCCCGAAAAACGACTCTGCTTTCTTTACCGCCTCCCCCAAATATTCTTCCCCCGAAGTCAAATCCAAAGGCAAAACCATCACCTCATCCGGTGCGTGTTTTCCTGGCTTAGCAACATCAGTGTGAGGACATAACTAGGAGAATCGGCATATATTCAAAAGACCTAAGAAGACAGAATTACGAACCAGTAAGTTGTTTCTTGACATTTTGCAGTTCCACTTCATTACGAGCAGAGATAATGAGCTTTGCTCCCAAACTTGCAAGTTGCTTAGCAAGAACTTCCCCTTTACATCAAATACATTAATTATAATTAAATTCAAAAAATCAATATATAATGCATCTACACAGAATTAAACTGAAATTTAAGATGGTGAGATATACAATATACCATGAAAGTTAACACGAAACGAGATTATCAACAATCACGAAACCAGTGTAAGGTTTTCACATGCATGAACTTTTACGAGCGAAAGTACAACAACAAAACAATGGCATGTTACTTACTAGTTCTCACAAATCACAATCACCAAAATAATTATTAAAAAAAAAAAGAATTTAATCGACTAAAGTTGTAAGGCACATACCAATACCGCGGCTGGCTCCAGTAATCCAAATAACCTATTACATTTAAACATCTATAAATTAATAAAGTCGGGAGTAGCAAAATTCAATCAATTTAGTGAAATATTAAATTATCGAAGTAATAACTAGTACGTTTTCACCGAGTCGGGACCGGGAAAAGTTATTAATTTATCGAGGTTCTACTGTAATTCATACATAAAAAAACATCACAAGTTCAACCAATTGAAAAGGAAATTGAAGCGAAGAATAATTTTCCCAAACCTTATCCTCAATTTCTTCACGCTTCACGTGTTTTTTCGACAACAACGTAAGATCACCTGAGATAAAATTAATAAAATAAACAGAAAATCTGACTAAATTTCTTAGAAAAATCACTAAAAAAACAAAAAATTGAAGCAAACAATAGATCACCCATCATCAAAAGTAGGAAAATTAAATGGATTATTAACGAAATTGTACCATCCGCTTTGATGAATTTGAACAAGAAAGCAGTGGGTATAGCTACGAACACTGCACCGAAAATTAGGGCCAGCATTTAATTTCTCTTTCTTCGTTAAGATTTTTCAGCTTCTGAGACTGCAACTGTGGTCTTTTTACTCAGCTTTGATGGGAGGAAAGAACAAAGAAGAAAGAGGGTAAAAAGGACATTTCATCGCATAATACGCTTTTAATCAAAATATAAAAATAAAATAAAAAGCGCGTTTTGTTGAAAATATTCTAATTATTTCTTTTAAAACAAAAACCGGAGAGAACAGAAAATACATACAGAGATAAATCTTCGCCCAATTTCGGTAAAACACCACTGAAAAACCCCAGCTCTCTCTCTCTCCGAAAATGGCGGCGAGAAATGCCCTGCTAAAGTACCTGAGAGTGAAAGCATATTCCGTTCCGCCGCTTCAAAACCCTAGAGAAACCTCCGGCGGCTTGTCGCAGATTTTCCGACGCCACTTCTCCGAAGAAGCTAAGGGCTCCTTCCTCGAGAAATCCGAGGTCGCCGATCGTGTCCTCTCCGTTGTGAAGAATTTCCAGAAAGTTGATCCTTCCAAGGTAACATTGTCATTTCTACCCCTCCCAATGTGTCTTAATTTGTAGCTGTTCCTCTGTGATTTTAGGTTATGAAATTAAAAAGATTTGGTTGATGTAATGCTAATCCGTTGGGTTATTTTGTTGTAATATTCGATTATTTAATGGATTAATGTTGGGCTCTCTTATTGAATTGGAACTATGTCAAAATTTTGCTATTTCCGTTCCCAGTTTGTATTACGAATTCGTCGGTATTGCGAAAGTTTTAGCCCTAATATTGGTCCTTTGTATTGACTTACGCTACATTGTTCACTATAACGCTCTATTTTTCCTTTGAGAAGATGTATTGTTACAAAGGTGGAAACCCTAATCGAGTTTGCACAATTCGTTTAGTTTAATTTAGGTACTACATGTTTTCACAAGAAGCACACACAAAAGAATCAGTTGGGTTGATTGTTAGTTTTCTACGTTATCTTCGAAACTTAAATTAACGAGTTTATTGTGTACTACTCGGATTCATCAGCCTATATTGTAGAAGATCGTTTAGTAGATGCCATGAATATCAACTTATTTTCATCTAAATGTTCCTAACTTCGTGTTTGTTATTATTCTCCGTGTGACACGCTTTGTTACACAATCCCACTCCTTTTTCAATTGTTTTTCTTTTTAATCAGGTTAAGTCATTATACATGTTTGTCGGAATCCCATGGTAAAGTATGAACTCTAAAATAGTAAAGTGTAGACTTAGCTAACACTTCTTGTAGTAGAACACGTCGAATCAAGAAAATTTACTTCACCTTTACTTTTGGTGAACTATATAAATTATAGATTTTATCGAGTTACGGAAGGTATATTTCTATATACAATATGAAAAAAACTGATTTCACACCAGAAACTGTTTTGTGATATCTCGTACTTCTCTTTACCTATTCCATGAACATATAATAGAGTTTATTGCAATTAATACCCATGTGTTGTATGTAATTGCTAAAAAACTGCCCCATGTTATTTAATGGCAAAAAACCCCCTATGATTTATTTAATTTTACCAATTAATACCACTGTTTAGAGTGTTGTGTGCTTAAAAAAATTGAATCATAAGGTGTTTTTTGCCAATAAAATAACATGGGGTGGTTTTTTTTTTTGAAATTCTATATAAAACAGAGGTACTAATTGCAATAAACCCATAGATAATACTTCAAATTATGGTTACATGCATGATGCATTAGACTGATATCTTTGCTTAATATTTGATTATGTTATATTGTAGGTCACACCAAATTCTCATTTCCAGAAAGATCTCGGTTTAGATAGTTTAGACACTGTGGAAATTGTGATGGCTTTTGAAGAAGAGTTCGGTTTCGAGATTCCAGACAATGAAGCAGACAAGATTAACTCCATCAATCTTGCAGTTGACTTCATCGCATCCCACCCTCAGGCAAAATAGAGTAGCTGCGACTAGTTTTTTCTAAGGTTTTAAGTTTTAAGTATCTCCATATTTGGAAAAAAAATAATAATATTTACTTGGTATTTTAAAACTCGAGATCTTGTTTAGCGTAACATTCTTATGGATTCTTGTCATAATGTATCTTGCATTGGAAAGCTTTATTGTTGTTTTTCTGCAAATTAAGTATGATCGGATGTATTCATTTAAGACTAAGGTGTTTTCCTTTTTTTTCATCTTATCTCTAAATTACCGAATTTTGTGGAGTTTATGAAAATGATATATCCGACTTCATCGATGTGAAACCTTTTGATAATTTACACCTTATTCAGCTGAATTATGTTCTTCCAACACTAATTTCTTTTTTAGTATGCTAATGTTTTTCTGCTGAGGTTTTTTCACTAGTAGAATGTATAATAATCTTTTGCAGAATCTACTAAGGGTGTTAAACGAGCTGAGCTCGGTTGTTTTGGCGAGCTCGAGTCCGTCTATTTTGTCGAGCTCAAGCTAGTCGAGTATTTTTTTCTTGGCTCGAGCTGAAGCTCATTTTTTTTTTTTTAATTATTAAGAATTATTTATATTATATTAAAAAAATTACAAATAAATAAAGTATTGGAATTATATATTTTTTTAATTTTTATATGTTCTTTTTATATTATTACAATATTATATATTATTTAAATAAAATATAATACATAAAAAAAAAAAAAAAAAAAAAAAGAAAGCTCACGAGCCGGCTCGTGAGACTAAGAAAAGGCTCGAGTTCGAGTTCGAGCCCGCTCATCGAGTTCACGAGTTGGCTTAGCTCATTTACCACCCCTAGAATCAACTAGGTAAATTACAATCTATTTACGATAAAACGCCTCATTTTTACATAACTGCATCCACCTCCCTGTAATTTGTAGATTTCTTATACTTATTACTTACAACCTTTTGTAAAAAGGCTAAAAATTGGGGGGATTTCTGAGAAATAAACTTTACCTCGTGGAGGTGGTTGTAATTTATCCAATCTATAAATCATGTACAAGTAGATTTCAGATTTATATATTCTAAGTGTCATTAAAATTGGATCTCAACACTGCAACAATAATCAACATTCCTTCATTTTCACATGTTCGTAGTTATAATCAACATCTAACATGTATCATTGAATGAAGTAGGGTCTATAGCACGAACACGTAAACGATGATGTGGGAAAACGGATACGCAGAAACGGCATATCCAAAAAAGGGATACGGGAGCTTGGGAAACGTATAAACATTAAAATATAAGGATATATTTATAAATTATAAATATGCTATATAAACTTATATAAGTTTTTATGTATATAAAAATTATTTTTATACATTTTCATACAAACATATTCATATCTTACATTAGCAATGATACAACTTAGCAATAAAACCCTATATTTATTATTTGGTACTTATTATGCAAGCCCTCATTAACATGGTTTGGCAAATTACTTTCTAGTTATCTAATTTAGGTTCTACTCTAGATAGAATTAGGTTTTGAATTGTATTGAATCAATTGGCTACAACACACACACACACACACACATATATATATATATATATATATATATATATATATATATATATTAAAATTGAGAAATAAGAGGAGAGAGTGGGATAGGTCACATAGGTGGTAGGAGAGAAAATTATTTGGCTACTTGTGAAATTGCATAATTTGTATCTAATAAACATTTCAAATAAGTGAATAACAATGGGTGTTTCCAACTCATAATATTTTTTTAAAAATGTTTGTCCTTTCCATCAAAATTAATAAATACGAGTTAATGTAACTAAACAAAATCATGCCCAACGTGTACAAGTGCCCTCTCAAAAAAACAAAACAAAAAAACAAAAAAAAAAAGAAAAAGAAAAAAAAACACAACGTGTACAAGTGCAAGTTCTATAAAATAAATAAAGGCTGCGGCTATATGCAAGACTAAAACCACTTGTGCAAGACTAAATTAATTTTTTCAATGTATAAATACTATAATACCCTTAGTTGTTAAAAAAATAGAAAATTCCAAATGTGCAAAACCAAAAGTTCAAAAACATGAAAACTTTATCACAAGACCACAAAACCACAAGACCGACTCTCATCTTCTCCACCTTCCAAAACCCACAAGATCTTTCACCTCCCTCCTCCATAAACCCACAAAACCTAAACATTCAAAATCATCAAAACTCAACAAATCTTACAAACATGGCAAGTATGGAGTCAGAAGACATCAAAATAGAAGATTCTACGGTGGAAGAACCCAAGAAGATATGCATTTATGGGTTTTTTTAGCTAGAATATTGTTTTTCCAAAAAAAATCATGCGCAAAACGAATTCGACATGTACATGTCGAATTTTAAAGGTAAAAATCGACATTTAGATGTCGATTTTTAGGCATAAAATTCGACATTTGGCAATGTCGAATTTGTGCTATAAATTCGACATGTCAATGTCGATTTTTACCTATAAAATTCGACGCTTAAGTGTCAATTTCTAGCACAATTTTCCGACACCTTGGTGTCGATTTTTACCAGTTTCAGATTTAATTTGTTTTTCCTCTTTTTTTGTAAGGTTGGGCGGCGGAGCTTTGACGTAGATGGAGAAGGTGGGCGTATGTCGGGTTTGGGGGGGGGGGGGGGGGGGGCTGTTTTTTTTTTTTTTTAATTCACGCATCTATTTTTTGTTTTTTTTCCTCATTATTTGTATTTGGTCTTGCATGAGAAAAAAAAAACCAAATTAATTTATGGGTATATTTGTCATTTCATCTTAATAAAATAGAATCTTTTAGAATCTTTCTTTAATTTGGTCTTGCACAAGTGGTTTTAGTATTGCATATAGCCGCAGCTATAAATAAATTGGGTAAATAGCAATTAACTTCCCCGGCCACAAGTTTTTATAGATAACCCATTATACTGTAATATCAGCACATAATCCCTTAATAGTTGATCGATGTTGGCGTAACAACTTTCGTTACTTTTTTCGTCAAACTTAATCACATATGTCAAACTTCAAAGGGGTCATCTTAAAAAATTAAAAGGAAACATAAGCACAAGGGAATTATCTGCAAAATATAGTATTTTGACGTGTAACACGCATACTTAATGTTTGACAGAAAAACTAACGGAAACTACCAAAAAATAAATAAACAAATAGAGAGAGAGGAAAAATTGGATTTTTCTCTCTATTTTAATATATTAAATTGAAAAGAATGAAAAATATAAGTAAATAAATAATAAAATTAAGTTGCCAAAAATCCCCACCAACCATTTCAATTACTTTACGATATAAATATAAAAGGGTCCATTCACTGAGCTTTGCTAAACCCTATCTCTCTCTCTCTCTCTGAGTCACATTTTCAGAGTACAGATTAGCAAACTCGAAAAGCCACAGAAATGGCGGCGGCGGCTCCTACCTCCTTCTCTGCCACCACAGCAGCCACCACCTCTTCCAAAACCCTAACTCCTCAGACTAAATCCCCATCGATCTCCTTGGGCTTCCTATCTTCCTCATCCCCTTCACTTAAACCCCTCCGAGCTACCGCCGCCGCTTCTCGAACCGGCTCCCGTGCTTCCGGCTCCGCATCGGCGGCCCGCATGGTGTCGGTTCAGACCGTCAGGCCCCCGGCTTCACAGGATTTCGAAACCTCCGTTTTCAGTAAGGAGAAAATCAACCTCGCCGGTTACGATGAGGTATCTAGGGTTTTTACCGAGGCGCGTGTATTTTACGTGCTTGCATTTCGTTTTGAGGGTTTATCGGAAGTGTAAATTAAGACGTTAAGGCTGAGGTTTTCCTAATTTATGTTCTCATTATGGTATTCATCACCTAGCTTAGTTTGCTTGCTTATTCAGCAAAAAAAAAAAGATTAGCCTTTTTGGTACCAAGTTATATTGAACTTGTAGTAGTAATGTTTGGATGATTTGGAGTTTTGATTTTAGATTTTTGGTAATTGATGATTCTGTTTGTGTTATTATGTAGTACATTGTGAGAGGAGGGAGACACTTGTTCAAGTTGTTGCCCGATGCATTCAAGGGTATCAAGCAGATTGGAGTGATTGGTTGGGGCTCGCAGGTACTATTTATTCTTTTATCTGTGCTTTGATAAATGATTTTTGTATTTTTTGTTGTCTTTTTACTTAGTGCCGATTTAATCATGGAAAACAACTCGAGAAATGCTGGGTGTTTATCGGTTCATTGTATACTATCATAACCAAATTCTTTGTGATTTTAGGGACCTGCTCAAGCTCAGAACTTAAGAGATTCTCTAGCTGAAGCAAACTCTGATATTGTGGTCAAGGTAATATTTGTTTTATCATCAACCAGTCCTTAGTATGTAGTTAGTATGGTTATAGAGAACATATGATGAAACATTTTTTATTTTTTATTATTTGTGTGATATTGCAGATTGGTTTGAGAAAGGGTTCTAGCTCATTTGCTGAAGCCCGTGCTGTAGGGTTTACAGAAGAAAATGGGACCCTTGGGGATATATATGAAACCATATCCAATAGCGATTTGGTGCTTCTGTTGATATCAGATTCTGCTCAGGTATGGATTGCCTTGTTAGTTTGTTGAACGATGTGAATCATGTCCTTCGTATGCGCATAAATGTTATCATTACTGCGTACCTCACTTTGTAGCATCTCGAACTTTTGAATGATTTAGGGTGCAGAAATTGATTTTCGGATAAACAATTTTTATGAATTTCTTGGCATGTGACATCATTGTTGATGCTCATAATGATGTTGGAAATATATTCTACTATAATATTTTTTATGTTGGAGACATCTTTTTCTTACTTGCCAAATATTGCAGGCTGATAATTACGAGAAAGTGTTCTCCCACATGAAGCCAAACAGCATACTTGGACTTTCCCACGGGTTCCTTTTGGGCCATTTGCAGTCAATGGGTCTTGACTTCCCCAAAAACATTAGCGTGATAGCCGTATGCCCCAAGGGAATGGGACCCTCTGTTAGAAGGTTGTATGTGCAAGGAAAAGAAATAAATGGTGCCGGTATTAATGCCAGTTTTGGTGTCCACCAGGTATGTATACTTTTCGTTTATGCTGCTGACAGATTTGATTGATATACATGGTTTTATGTTTCGGTTTTGTATGAATGAATATTTGACGGTTACATGCATTTTTTAAAGGATGCTGACGGAAGAGCCACAGATGTTGCTCTTGGATGGTCAGTTGCCCTTGGTTCACCTTTTACTTTTGCTACCACCCTCGAACAGGAGTACAAGAGTGACATTTTTGGGGAACGAGGTAAAGAGTGTTTCTCTGTCGATAGGGACTTTGTTGTCTTGAATGAATTCTAAGTCAATGCTTCGATTTCTAGGCATTTTACTTGGTGCTGTGCACGGTATTGTGGAATCGTTATTCAGAAGGTACACTGAAAATGGAATGGCTGAGGATCTCGCATACAAGAACACCGTTGAAAGCATTACAGGGATAATATCCAAGACCATATCAACAAAGGTTAGTCTTAGGGTACTCTTCGTGTTTTTGTCCTACATCATTCTCTTCTTGGTCAAGCTTATATTGGATTGTTGTTTTCTACTGAATCCTTTTCATTGTTGTTTATGGGTGATTATTTGTGACAGGGTATGCTTGCTGTCTACAATGCATTAAATGAAGATGAGAAAAAAGAATTCGAGGCAGCATATAGTGCTTCGTATTATCCCTGCATGGATATCTTGTACGAGTGCTATGAAGATGTAGCCAGTGGAAGCGAGATAAGGAGTGTTGTTTTGGCTGGCCGTCGATTTTATGTATGTTTATTAATCACTAGTTGTGATGAGATTATTCGGTACCTGTCTTAATTTCTTCGATTGATATTTTGTTTTCTCGATGCAGGATAAGGAAGGATTACCTTCTTTCCCTATGGGCAAAATTGACCAGACCAGGATGTGGAGAGTCGGTGAGAGAGTTCGTGCAACACGTCCAGCAGGTGACTTGGGGCCTCTGTATCCTTTCACTGCCGGTGTCTTTGTGGCGTTGATGATGGCCCAAGTAAGTTGCTCTTTCTCTTAACTCCTATTTATATCCCGATTGATTTGCACAATTGTACATATATAGAGCTGAGTTAAAGCGAGCTTTCTTATCAATATGAGGTTTTCTGAAAACAGATAGAATAGGTAGTATAATTAAGTGTTACAAGTGTTGTCTGATTGCTCGCATACTTAGAGATGTGAGTGTTTAAATCGGTCATTTTGATTCTCTATGCAAATATCTTTATTGGATTGGTTATCTTAGTTTTAAATATAAGGATGCCATTCTTTTATGATCTGATGTTATTATGCCCTTCATTGACCACACAGATTGAGATTTTGAGGAAGAAGGGGCACTCTTACTCAGAGATCATCAACGAGAGTGTGATCGAGTCCGTCGACTCATTGAACCCATTCATGCACGCCCGAGGCGTTTCTTTCATGGTCGACAATTGCTCGACGACAGCTCGTCTGGGATCGAGGAAGTGGGCCCCGCGATTCGATTACATCCTCACACAGCAGGCTCTGGTTGCAGTGGACAACAACGCACCGATCAACCGTGACCTGATCAGCAACTTCTTGTCCGATCCCGTGCACGGTGCTATTGAAGTGTGTGCAGAACTGAGGCCAACTGTTGATATCTCAGTGCCCGCAGATGCTGATTTTGTTCGCCCCGAGTTGCGTCAGTCTGCAAACTGAAGATGATTTGAGCTGAGATTTTTTAGAGGGTTTTATGTGTTTGTGTGAGTGAGAGACAGCCCACCCAAGTGGGGGCTGCTGCTTTGCTTTGTTTGAATTTATGAGTAGATTTTTGTCATGCATGCATGTCTTTGTTTTGTGACGTTGCTACTTTTTGGTATCTTATGTTAGTCGGAATAATGTTATAAACTTTAGTGCTTAATCTTTTGGAAAAATCTGATTTTTTTCGGAAGTGAAAAATCCATTCCAATTCCGTCAAAAAAAAAATTGGAATTTCAGAAATTTGAATGAAAAACCTTGTAACAAAATCGGTTTTTTTTAACAGAATCCGCGGAAATTCCAGTTGAGTTGTCACCTTAAACATTAAATGTATACATTGATAGTCTTAAGTATAATTTTTGGGAAAAATAATCCGAACCTTTGGATCTATTTTTGGAAATTGAAATCATATCGAAAATCGAAATCTCATATATATATATATATATATATATATATATATATCCAGTTCTATATAAAAAAAAAAAATTTGGAACAAGATTTTCAGAGTTTCAAATTCGGAAAAATTCTGATCAGAATCAGCAGAAATTGGAAATTCTGATCAAATTTTCACCCCTAGTTAATATTGCAATAGATTGTTCAATAGAAAATCCTGTCTGATAATTAAGACTTATTACCCGCAGCGTGTAAACGTAGCAATAATTGGTACAAACAGACAATGCAACAGAAAATCGTATGCAACAACAAACAACAACCTCCGTATAAATAGCTTCCTCTACTTCATATATATGCATGAACAAATGAAGGAAACATTTAAAAAAAGAAAAAAATTCTTCTTGAAGGAGATTATTATGTACACACCGGACTAATAATACTCGCTCGCACAAATCTTCCACAAATGATAGATTTGTTTGAAGGTGTAGTGAGAGAAAACACATCTGTTTTATCCCGATTCCGAAGCCTTAGTTGTGATGAAGGAGGCGTAATTGGCAATTGTAGTTTCCGGCGACTGTCGAAGCTGTGCTATCAGAGGAAACAGTTCCGATGAGCGAATGAATTGTCTGCATTGTGGATAAGCACACATCTTCACCAGTGAAAACAATGCTATCTTTAGAGGCGACTCGTTTATGGCATCCTTTCTTGGGTTTAGTGCCACAGTTGAACAATCTGCTACCACCTTTAATAGTGCCTGGAAGGAAATCCACAAGTATCAGATCTTTAAAAAAAAACACATACCCTACTCAATCTAAAAAAATTGATATTTAACAACTGACAAAATTGTGTGACAGATAAAATAACTTTTAATATAATCTATTTCCTACAATTCCACCATTAAGGCTTTAGCCTAGTGTTATCGGTTTCGGTTATGCAGAGAATTCAGATACATGACTAATTCTAAAACGAAATACAACAAAATAATCACAGACATTTAGTTATAAGCAAACGAAAATACCTGCATGGCTCCTTTGGTAACTATGTCTTCACAAAGCCGATTGGAGTTGCGTACAAGATTACTGAGAGCACCTGCAGCATTTGCTTTAGTTTTATCTTCTTCATCTGAGAGCAGCAGATTTTTCAGCTGTGGGATGGCTCTTCTGAGTTCGTCGTATAATGAGTCATTATGATAGGCGGCATTTCCAACCTGTACACAGACATATTCATCAACTTATCTCTTCAAGCAAAAATGATTTTGAGCGAAAATACTGCTCTGAGATTATTAAGAAAAAAGGTAACTACAAACATATGGTACCGTTCTGGAAAAAAATAACTTACAGCAAAGCAAGCAAATTTCCTTGTACGTTTGTCAGGATCAGCACATCGATCAATCAGGACACCAATGATTTGATGTCTTGCCTTTAAAATAAAGATAAAACTGTCTTTAATCACAATGCAAATTAAACAAGAAAATGAAAACCACATCCTTTTTTGTGAAATTCACAATCCAGAATCGAGGTCGGACTGTACCAGTAAATTATAGAAATAGGAGCTATGGCGGCACATGTTTCCAATAGCACTGCAGGTTTTGGCACGGAAATTGGGATCCTCATGTGTGAGAAAGTTCTTTAGATCCTCCAAGATATTTGCTGCATCGATGTATTCATAGAATTGCTGCATACAAATCCATGATTAGAGACAAAGCAGTACCTACTTCAGTAAAGTAACAAGTCAAGGACTGAAAATCAAACCAAACAACTCGATACTCAATTTCAGATCTGTCGTTAAACGCTCTTTAGCTCGGTTTGTTAACCATAATTTTGTTATGATATGTAAAAACTTGGGATAAACCATTGCACGCAAAACATAGTTTCAACAGTTAAGACTATTTACACTCAAATAATAGTATAAGATATTACAGCAATACCTTATCCATTCGAGCTAAATCTGAAACGATCATAAGAAAATCCATGGTGACTTCCCTAGGGCAGGGACTATTAAGCAACCTTTTCGCTCTATTTGGAACCAATAAGCCTTTGCTTACAAGTTGAACAGCAAGCTGTGGTTGGGTAGATATCTTGGCAATAAATGCAACGGGCCTGGCAATATCTTTCAATTCCATATGGTCCAAGCAACAGAGAACGATTGCTGGCACTTCAACCTGTGAATGCATAAGCAATAACGTTGAATATGTGGCCTTAAAAATCTACATTTATCATGCACTTCATAGTGTTTGTGTTGAGGACAAATGGACAATGAAGTTCAACTCATTCTGCGATTGACTTGTTGCTTGCTTATAAATTAAAAGCAAGAAATGTTTTGTAATATGAGGGAAAAAACAAAAAAGAGTGGTTCACTTACCACCATATTATCAGTTATTTTATTAAACGATCTGCATTATATCGATATATTTCAAATAAGAAAAATGAATCACTCAAGGAATTTCCATCTCATTTTTTATATAATTCTTTCTCCAATTTGGGTTTTCTAGTTAATGTCATTTGCCTTCAGTACAGAACAATGCAGTGTTCCGATTCCAAAGTTACCCATTGCCAAAATGATTATATAAAGTCGAGAAATAACAATGTCCAGATACTAAAACTCAATTCAAATGTATAGAAACACATGATTGTATGATGTGCTCCCACATTGTATAAGAGATGGTAATACAGAAGGAATCTGGGAAGCAAAAGCTTTTAGTATAGCATCTAAAATTTAAAGAACAAGAAAGAAAGCAGTAACTGACCTCCAGGAGAATTTGGATAAACTTTTTCATGTTTGCCTGTATTGTTTTGATCATGTCTTTGTCGTCAGCACAAACCTTCCCACCTGGAGAGCCCATATTCAAAAGAGAACCACTGTTAACTGAAGCATTAGTGGAGAGCTGACCAGGTGCACTCTGAACAGCTACAAAAGGAAATGCTAAGAGGTCAATCACTGCATTTATCGTCTCTCTCACACCATATTTTCCTCCACCAGGTCCAGTCCAGGACCTAATGAGCTTAAGATGAGCGTCGGATATTAAATCAGTCACGCATTTAACGTGATCTGTCCTTAACAAAATTTGACGAAATGTTGAAACTCCGCCAGGTAGGCACTGACATACTGAAGAAATAGTCCATACAACCCCGGTAGGAGATAATCCGATTTGATCTTGTGAGCAGACAGATCCCTTTTGAGAAGCATTTGATATATTGTTTGCCAGCAAATCAATTAGTAGCTGTGGAGCACCACTTGCACAAAGTTGTTGCACAGCCAGAGGCCCTCCCCAGTTCAGTCTGGACTCCAACAACCCAATAGATCCATCCCGGATGCCATACCTGTGCGGAAGCACCCCCTTCAGCATTGAAACATTTTCATCACTATCTCTCAAATGGTCACACAAAGTTGCTGTTCGTGGAATTAAAGGAAGAGCTATCTCAGAAATGGCATTTTCAACTGAAGTTCCCTTCTCAAGAGACAAAATGGATGCAAGAGCTAGCATGGCAGCTGCACAAGAAGGTTGCAATGAGGATTGCATCCTTTCATCTGAAGAGAAGTGATGTGCAATGCTAGAGAGCCGAACAAACTGCCTTTTCGAAGATGTTGTCAACATGAGCAACGCAGAATTTCTTCCGGATGATTTCAAACACTGAGCAACTGTGGCAAGAACAAGGCAAGAGTTCAAAACCAAGGCACGTGTATCCGTGACTTTGAGTTTCGAATTATCTGCTTCTGCATCATTGATATCTTTATTTGAAGCAGCACATAAAGATAGTATGGAGAAGATCTCTGAAACAATTGTGCCGTCTCCACCACCACTCACTACTGTAGTGACAGGTAGTTTGCTTGGCAACCCACATAGAACATTCGCAATAATGTCATTATGCAAACAACATCGCAAGATAAGCTGCAATACAGTACGTGAATTGTTTATTTTAGTATATAAGACAAAAGTGCATGATATCATCACATGATAGAATAAACAGAGCGAGTTGCATTAGAGTAGAAAGTCGAAACCATAACCACACAACTTAAAATACATTAACTTTTAATAGAATAGAATCTAAGTGGATAAATAGATGTCAAACTGAAACAGATACCTGCACCCCAGCAGAAAGACCCGTCTCGTTACGTTGGCGAAGACAAAAGTAGATAGCGACCTGTATGGATTTTGACTTGAGAAATGCCTTCGTGATCACATCAGTGACTTCTCCCGAAACTGTTCCATGAGATGGTCTCTCGTCATGGTCCTTAATGTCAAGTCGAAGCAGTGAAGGGCTCCGCAAAGAGTTTAGTGGAAATAACAAACTTCCTTCCACAGATAGAAGTTCGAATGCGTCAATGAGTGACGAAATTCCCCTACAGGCTTCACAAGCAGCTCGCAACAAATTTGTAGAGCCTGATATGAGACTCGAGCCTGAGGATTCCAAGCACAAGCACAGGCAGTCCAGTACTCCTGAAGACTTAGCATGGTCCAAAATTTGCTGCACAAATCTATTTACCACGGATGGGTTTGAAGCTGTCTCAGGGTTTGAACCAGCTGCAGATGCTCTGAGAGACTGTGCTACTTGAGATAGCATTGCAGCAACACATGAAGTGGACTCAAAGAAAACTCTTCCAGACATGTCATCACCAGAGCTTGCAACCTGAGGATTTCAATAATGAGAGCTTAAAGCAAATGCGTAAAATAAAATAAAAAATCCTGCTTGGCAAAAGCAATTACAAAGAAGTGGAACGAACCTGTGAATATAATCCAGCTACGGCGACCCAATGCCGGAAATAAGCATCATCGATACTACATCCACAATTATCTAGCAATCTTTTCACAATTGAGAAGCTCTGTGAAGGAATTATAAATGTTTAAGCAACACGCACAAGAACTCAACTTGAATAGGTAACTGAACTTCTTCAATGAAAAAAAGAAAAGGAAAAGGAAATTCAAGCCAAGGGTAACAAAAAATGTAATGAAATTTAAATTCCTCATAACAATTCTAAATTCAATAGTCACAATCATCCTCCTATTATTCAGAGAGGGGTGAGTGTTCCTCATGCAAGAAAATTGCTCGTGAAAAAATGGGTTTCGACTATTTGCTCTCCTCCCGGTATCCAGATTGAAATACGCATAATACCATTCAAAGATGCACGAGATCATAAAGAAGTAGGAAAATGCACTCATCCCCAGATATTCATGCTAATTAAGAACAGTAATAATATACCTTTGCCACCAAGTCATTTCCATCAGATACTTTTAGTCGAACAATAGCAGAAATGAAACTAAGAAGTCCTCCAATTATTTCATCAAGAATTCCCCTTGAGTTTAAGGCTCCAGCAGCAATTAAATTTGAAAGAATCCGCAGTGACTGATTCAAAATAACAATATCCTGATCCCTGTATGAGAACCGGAAGTTAATTATGAACTAGAGAATCTTGCTCACAAAGAAACAGTGGTGAGGGAAAGTTCTGTATTAAGGTATGAGTGGCAGAATAAAGATACTAATACACCTATTATATTGTATATTCCCAGCACACTGATTAATTCTTATCTTGAAGATTAAAAAAAAATAAAAAGGATGACTCTGTTCAGCAATTAATTACCGGCAGGGATTTTGTGATCCATCGCACAACTTTTTCAATGGTAGTAGAATAGCAGCCAATGCTTCATTGTCTTGACCAATTACTTTTGCACCCTTACCTGAGCGGGAATTATTTTCCAACCGCTCCAGCACTTGGCAACCTGATTAGGAAACAAGGTTGGTCAGCTTATTTAGGAAGTAAGTAGGACTGACATGACAATGAGAAAGTAAGAGAACAACAAAGTAGGAAGAAGCAAGGGTATTCTATCAAAAGTGCATGGGAATGCAGTATCTTTCTTGAGCAACTGGTGCAATTAACACACAGAGCAAAGACAATCTTATTTCTCCCCAACAATCAGACAAAATAACTGATTTACTGAAACTTTCCAGCTGGACCAAGCACCTAAACAGAGTCTGAGAGAACATAACCTAGAATTACTAGAAAGCATGAACGAAATAACATTTGGTTCTATTGAAAAGTCAACAATTTTTTTGAAGAAAATATCTGTAATGCAGACAGTGTTTTCTCCAGAACATAATAAATGACTGATGAGCACATTCTTTCTAACAGATTAAACATCATTCAGAGGTACCATAAAGTGCCAAAAGTTGCAACCTAAAGATGAGGACAGTCTACAGGGGATTTTTTTTAGGATAAACTAAACCTATGAATTCTACAGATACAACCCTGACAGCTTAGTATAGAGTATGGTATGCAGAAAGTCCAAGAAAATACAAAGCAAGAATTAACCTGACTGTACAGCACCACCCTGACTCGGAAAACCTGGAAACTCCTCCCTTGGCATGGGATTGTCTACTGTAGAGTTGGAATGAGGATCGACTGGAGAGCAACGGACCGCCTTATTTTCAGTACCAGCAGGAGAAGAGTTCTTACCTACAACCACATACTCTGACAGTTAGATTAACCAAATACCTTGAGGATCAACGATACTCTTTGGACTTGCAACACTTCATTAATAGCTTTTGGAGAAGAATGGAGGACTTACTCTCTGGACTTGCTGCAGTAAATCCACTTGGCTGTTGATCATTTCCTTCTTGCCTCACAGCTGCATTAAAACCTCTAGGAGATGATTTTATCGCAGCATATGAATCCTGGTAAATATTTTAGATAAAACAAAAGGTTGCATAAATCAATTACCAAAACCCATAAACCAAGAGTATAAAGCCAAAATTTGAACAAAAGTGTGTGTTTACTTCTATTTCTTTACGAGTTTCTTTAACAAATGGGTGTTCAAGAAGAGCAGGCCATGAAAGTCTCTGCTGAGGAACCTGTCCCAATGGAAGCAAGTTCAGATAAGATTCATGGGGCACAGAAGAAAATTATAGCATATATATCAACTTTTGCAAATATCACCTTATTCAGCAAACCTTGTAAGAAACTTCTAAATTTTGAGCTCATATTGTCTGGATATTTAACAGGATCCTGCAAAAAGTACACAAAACTGAAAAATAATCCAATAAAGTATCATATGAAAATGAAATGTGAAAAACAGTACAGTACCTTAATGATATGCCGGATAAGTGCATAGACCGAATTTGTATAAAATGGAGGTTGGCCAACGAAGAGTTCATACCTGTACAGTTTGCCAGAAATGGGAGAATGGGATTGTATGAAGTTGGATAGAGAAGGGCTGCTAATAGATATTGCTGGCCCCAATTAAGATCAGGGTAAACCGCAATAACATAAAAATTGCTATAATTTTTTATTTTTTTTATTCCTAGGTGGAAGAAGTATCATTTATTAAGCCATACTAAAAGACTTGTTCTGAAGGATCGGCAACCTAAGAGTTGACATCCGCATTAATACCACCATTGCTGCTAGTATTATCCAGATTATTTATTTGAGTGCACTAGGTGGATGACAAAGGTGTTGGCGCAATTATTACTGTAAGTTAAACTTATATACTGGTTGAGAAGCTAATAGGGTAAAAGTTAGAATCATACTCATCTTATTGCGATCAACTAGATTAAGATAATCAAAGCATAAAGAATAGAACATATCGACATGCAAAGCAATGGATGTATTACTTACAAAATAACACCAAGGGACCAAAGATCCGCAGTATGGTTATATGGCTGTTCTCGTACTAATTCAGGGGCCATGTATAAAGGAGTTCCTGATATAAATTGTGAACCAAAAGTCAGAAGACATAATATAACTAGCAGTCATTAGTGACTGATAAAATAAATCAGACACAACACCAGCAGATTCATAGAAAACTTCTTACCTTTTATGGACCGCAAGACGACCGTGTTTGCAGACATTGCTCGAGCAAAACCAAAGTCGCAAAGCTATTAATAGATAAAGAGACAGAACAAAAGAAACTAAGATTTCTTGCTATTTTCCTGGATTATAGATGAGTAGGAAGCAAGTTATTTTTGTGATAAACCTAATGTGGATGCTAGAATGTAAATACTAGAAATACGAACTCACTACTAAGAATTTAATGTCAATTTATCTATTTTCAAAGTGGCAATGAGTAAAGAATGATTAATAACTCATTTTCAGTTGACATACCTTAACAATGCATCCAGCACCAATAAGAATATTTTGTGGTTTCATGTCGCGATGAATTATTCGATTTGAGTGGAGATAATGCAATGCTCTCACCTGAAAACATCAAAATAAACCATATAATGAACCATTAGAATATCATTTCAGCTCCAATGATATATACGAAAAAATTATCATATTTCTTGCTAAGTGGAAATCTTTTAACAACCATTCCAGATTTCTAGGCAGTCATACAGAAGCAGATTAAGAAAGGATTACCAGTTGTTTTGCAATAGCTTGAACTTGTTCTTCAGGAAGACATTTGTCATCCTCGAGAATTTCAAAAAGCTCGCCCTGCAATAAGTTAAATCTCATAATCTACTCATGCTTTGACTTTCACATATTGATATGTTGATCAAATATCTCAGATCAACATTACTTTTTATAATAGAAGAACTAATTGAGGGGAGATAAACAGGTGGAAGGTAATAATTACTTGTGCAAATTCTGTAACAACACAGAACTCTTGCGGGCTCTCAAATGAGTCCAGCATTGCTATAATATTTTCATGCTTCAATTTTCTTAGAATCTGCATTTGTCAAACCAGCCAAAATAACTTTAAAACATAATTATGATTGCACCAACTATGAAACATAAAACGTACACAAAAAAAATATTGTTTACATGCTAACAGTTTAACAAACAGAAAACCCTGTCTAAATATCCAGTATTGCCGTAGAAACTAAGTATGTTGGGATCTTGGTCAGAAAATAGCCAGAAACTATGTCCGCAAGGAAAATGCAAAGGCAAACTGACCTATTAGAAACAATTAATTTAATGATATTCTACTGCAAGGTTGAAATGAACATGCACGCACAAAAAATAATGGAAGGCCTAAAGAAACTTTCGAATCTTCACTAGAAAGATTGACCAAATTTTGTTCCAGTTTTTAAAGGCTGAACCTCCTAGTATATTTTACAAAAACATCGCTACAATGAAGATAAAGCTGTTTCACTGACTTGAATAAGTAACCTCGTAAAAGAGTAGACATCTTTCAGGCGTACGATACACTAATACAGGTTAAGAACATGATATTACACCCCCTAAAAGTCAGTATACGAAGTAGTTTAAAATAAAATTAGTACAAGAACTGCTAGCCAGTAGCCGTATAACCTGTTAAATCTGAAACAAGCATGTTGAATCTCCAAAAAAAAGAAAAACAGACAAAAATTTAGCATTATTTACAGAAGGCAATATTTCCATGCTTCTATTTTCTTAAATCAGCTACTATTCCGAGCCCAATTCATGATCCAGACATATTTACAACCCCATAACAGCAATTTTTTATGCCAAAACAAACAGAACCGCATTCAATCTCACACTATCATAGTATCCACACTACGTTTATTCTCAACCATAATTCGACCAATTACCTCTATTTCCTGTCTCAAGTTGAAAATGTCCTTCTCGCTTTTGCCATGTTTAGGGATAAACTTCATAGCAACTGTCTGCAGATCTCAACACAAAAAATAAAAAAATTAATGATGATAATAATAATAAGCTTAGAACAAAATTAACATCTAACAAAAAAAAAAAACTAGCAATTGACCTGGCCAGTGAACTTGCGCCGCCCTTTGTAAACTTTGCCAAACGATCCCTCACCTACAAGCTCTATAACGTGATAATTTTCAACACCCATGGTTTCTAAACCTGCGGAGTGAGGAATTCAATTACAAAATTAGCGTATACCGTCAATAACAAACGCCAAAGAGACGGAACCGTTAATATCTGCAGAAATTTACTTCATATGTAAAAGATCAGCTAAATAACCGAAGAACAGTTCATCACCGTCTTCCAAAACTGTGCGTACGTGAGTGGCTGATTTTAACGGCACGATAATTACGAAATTTCAAGGAGAAAATCAGAATTTGCAAAAAAAAAAATATCATGGAGAATTCATCCACCTTGAAAGTGTCTGCGCGAACAGATTTTTGGATTAGCCGCTGAAACTAAATTCGGATGAAGTGTTCAATTCTGTGTACATGAGAGAGAGAGAGAGAGAGAGAGAGAGAGAAGAGAGAGAAAATAATAGATGGAATTTGAAAAGATGGGTTTGGTGATACGTTGGTTTAACGTTCACATTTTCATAATTTGAAATATTTCAAATCTGGCGAAAAATCCAACTATCGGCCGAACGACGTCGTTTCGCTTATTTAATTTAGGGTAAATTACAACGACCTCCCTGAGGTATGGTCAAATTACGAAAACCCCCCTTTTGTTTGGATAATTACAACCACCTCCTCTACTCCTCAAATTTAGTGGAATTTTCAAGATTATATGGAATATTATCACTTCTGTACCTATTTTATTCCATTCGAACTCTACATTTGAAGCAAGATGATCATAATATGTGTTTTTTGGCTTGTATATATATATATATATATATATATCAGATTGTGGTACATCGGTAATTGTATTTTTACACAAAACGAGTACAAACTAGAGCACATTTCACGAAATCCGGATGATTATGTTGAATTTGACACCATAACGGTGGAGGTGTAAGAAAAAATCATAGTTGAGGGGATAGATGTAATTATCCAAACAAGAGGGGTTTTTTTTCGTAAATTAACCATACATCAGGGGGTGTTTGTAATTTACCCTTTAATTTACGTGATTTGCTTTTTTTTTCTTTTAACCTTTTTTGAGTTATGTTATGATTAATTCTTGGGCGGGCGGGCAAATTACGATCAACCCCGAGTGATTAAATTCCTGCTATTTTTCTTTTATGTTTTATCATTACTATTATGAAATGTTATTTACGGTTAGAAATTTGCTATTTGCGGTTTATAACAAAAAATATTTTATCTCTCTAAAACCCCAAAACTTTCGAAAAACCCCCAAACTGCAAATAGCAAACAAAAAAAAATGAAAATTCGAAATCAAGCTTGAAGAAGGGTTGGGCTTCAGTTTTTTGATGTAATTTCGACTCTTTTATGTGTAATATGCATTGGGTAGATCGATTATGGAACCCCACAAATCGATTTGTAGGGGTTTTTTTTTTGGCAAAAACATGTTGGAACGCCCAAGATGGGCGTTCAATTAAAAAAAAAAAAAAAAATTTGCACTGGACGCCCAACTTGGGCGTGCACTGCATGAATGGGCGCCCAAGTTGGGCTTTTACGCGTTTTGGGGGATTTTTTGATTTTTTTGAGAAGTTTTGGGGTTTTAGAGAAATAAAGTGTTTTTTGTTATAAACCGCAAATAACAATTTTCAAACCGTAAATAGCAAGTCCCTTACTATTTATATATGAGATTAAGTTCTGAGCATCCGGTCTAAATTTGCACCCTTTATATATTGTCCAGCTATTAATTTTGATATATATATATATATATATATATATATATATATATATATTGTCACTTGTCTTAGTCATTATATGGGTTAATTTTTTACATATGTATTTTTTCCCTTGAGGCAATTAAACAATATTTTCTTTCTCGGAGACCAGAGAAGAAACAAAGCCAATGTTGCATTTGTCTAGTTACATAGTCAAGAATAATTAGTAGTACAAATCGACCAAACTACTGAATGCAGAGTTTCATCTTGTCTAAACAAGTATATATTATATCTACCCACTCTCTCTCACAGCAGTTCGTGTAAAAGAAGTGTACATTGTTCTAATCCACTGCAAACCAAAAAAATAAAAAAAAAATTCAAAGCAAAACGACAATGGTGGTCCGTTTTGAAGAAGAAACTAACAAATAACACTGCAAACGGCCCTTCAATGATGAATACGGAACTGCTGCTTGATTGTAGGAGGAAACTTCGGTGAAGTATTTCCAGTTCAAATTCAACAATATGTTTTCCATATATAGCGGCGAAAACCTGCGGGGTATTAGAAACAATATTCATATTCTTAATGTTCATACAGATTTTATGTTCTGCGATTTCTCTAATCCGAAGAGTGAATTTATTTCAGGCAGCACACAAGTCTAGAATTGTCCGAGATTGAGATACTACATTAATCACGAGGCAATTGCGATAAGGGCTACAAGTTTGTAGAATCCCAGGAGTCAACCGTGTAAAATCATAGTTCGAACGGATCGTGACCATTGGGGAAAAAATGAAAGTGTTCCTTATTATAATATTATCTTTATGATTAAGAAACACCGACTTCAAATTCCAGTATTCATACTGACCTATTAGATTTCAAAAGTTACTTAGGAAATAAATTTTTAATACATTATTTGTGTCTTGAGTTATCTGTTAATGAGAGCGAGCTGGATTCTTGTCTTAAAATTTCAAAGGTGCATCGCACACTTGCAACCCCTGTTATCGAAGATGCAAAAAATATATACATAATGATATTTATGACATGTCTTAGTATTTGAAAAACTTAAGTTTATAGATACCCGCTCCCACACTACATATAGGGTTGTCTAGGATATAAAAAATAAATGAAAGCAATAAAATTAGTGAAAGCTTAAGACTACAATTCCAAGGACGAGATAGTTACCGGAAGATATGCTTTATCATACGTCTGTAAGAATAGATCATCTTCTTCGGACTGCAGTAGCTTGACCACGTCCTGCAACTACTTGTTGAGGTTGCGAGCCTGGTTGCCCGGTACCAGGTTCCTCAGCCATGTTCATGGCTTGAGTCATTGCATTCATGACAATGAGCCCAAGAGGGATCAAGTACATCCACTACAAGAAACAAACATAAGAGTATTATTACTCTCTCTTTTTTTTATTTTTTTTCTGTGCGAAGTAAGAAGAATTTTACGTCAAAAGGGAGTTTATGGTTTGTGCTTACGTATTTAGCCCAGAAGGCCTTCTCTGGTGGCTTCACCTCTTCACCTTCTCCATTCTCACCAACACTTTCTTCGGTAAATACTGGGGTTCTGATTTAAAATATTAACTCCATTAATAATATAGCCTAACGGAAACGCATAAATTAAGCAAGCATGTGGAACTGCAAAGGCTGTCATTTTATTCTCCAATCTCCACCCTAAGTGTGGCCAGCTAAAAAAATGTTGTCATTCTATTCTATAAGTGGTTAACCAAAAATTGGAAAGATCGTATAATAATAAAATACAGAATATCTAACGATTAGATCAATGATTCTGATTTCTCTAAATATGAATTCGTGCTACAGGTGGACCTCTGGGACGGGAGTTTTCAGGTCCGGAGACAACAATAGACCCTATTGAGTTGATTTTGTTAAAAAAAAAGAAAGACGCTGAGTCCCAAAATTCAACCTGATAGGGTACCCTATTACATTGGGTTGGTATTGGCTATTCGACTTGAGGCCCACCCTACTCGAGTTATTTTGTATTTGAGGCACTAACTACTAAACCAAACTAAGAAACGGCATAGAACAGAAAATCAATCAGTTGCAGCAATTAGATTGCGAAGTTCAAACATTAATTTCGGGACTTTCTGCGTAACGCTTCAATTCAATCTCAAATGACTACACAAACTCCTAAATTGAATTCAGAAAAACAAATAACCCTAAATTCATTAAATCAAATAAATCACTTTTCACACACTAATCAGAGTTTAAAACCACTAGCAAGAAAAATCTTACCTAGGAGCCTGATCGCTGTACTTCAAGACCGTGTGCGACTTAAAAGACCACTTTGAAGGCTGAAACGAAATCGAGCAAAGAGCAATGAGTGATGTAATGTTGGAGCTGTAACTAATACTCACCGAACAAATTCGCAGTAACCACTGTGGTCCATGATGAAAGTAATGTAGGAGCAGAATAAACATTCTAAACAAATCGTTGGGAAAAACTTACAAGTTTCAATTGACGGGGATATGGGCATGATCCTGGGGAACCATAATTGACGCCCAATATATTTACACCCTCCTGTGATGAAAAATAACAAACAATGCACGAATCAGGAAAAAATAATTACATGTACGGTATACCCCTCGCAGAAACAGGAAATGATAAAATTATTTCAATGCTACAGCAGTGAATAATTAAAAAGGGACCACAAAATGGGAAGCTCTCACTTGCAGAACATTACTTCGTATCTGTCAATTTTAGGTGCTTATTGAGCAAAAACACAAGAATGGCATCCAAAAAGTTTTTGTTGAAAAAACCTAGGTTAAAAACATTGGCATATATATATATATATATATATATATATATATGTATATACTTATTGTATTTAGATAAAAATAGAAAGCTGATCATACTTAAGCTGATTGTGTTGAGATAATAGATATAAGTTCATTTCGTGTTCTATGACAAAGAAGGTAATTTGAACCAAAAAATATAATCTGTCGACTCCTTAAGAAGACCCGCAATGAATATTTTAGTGAGTACAAAATGCCAATATAATAAACAAGATTAAGGTGTCTCCGACTAAAGTTATTCAGTAAAGATTCATTGTTAAAGAATCTATTACCATGTGTATAACAAAATGCTCGTCCAATGCATCCCGCGGTGATAGACATCGCTGTGAGCAAATTAAACAAGTAAAAGACAATGTTATTACCCACTTCAGATAAGTGCATATAGAGAGAAACATGGAGGTTATAAATTGTGATTTCAGAGGATAGAGGAATACAACTCAAATCAACAGAGTTCTAATAAGTGCTACAGTAAATAGGTAACTATGACCAGCAGACATTCATTAGCATAGTCATCAGTCAGAAACTTAAATGGCAACAAAAAGTTTCAATGGCAGATTTTGGTTTTTATCCCAGTAAAACAGGGGTTTTCAATTGGCTCTTTAACATACCATCTAAAAGGCAGAAAAGTAAGCATTTTAGATGATTCTAAACTAGTTCTTAAGATAAAATAACAATGAAGTCACAAATTCAACTGGTACTAAAAAGAAAAACTCAAGTTCAATTGCACACTTACCGCCTTGACAGATGAGATAATCTGCTCTCTCCCAGATGCGGTTAACACATTTGATGGTAGTCTTATTCTATAGAACTCGTCTCCTTCCAAAAGTTTCTGCGATGTTATTTCAAAAAATTACCATCACATTCTATAGTCACAAATTCAAATTGTATAGAAAAGTAATTGTAACTGAGATTTACTTTGAAGTTATACTTCTCCGTCTCACTGAAGTCATTCCTCGAGAACCTCAACTTCGTAAGCGTCTGTAAATAATTAAATAATCACGTCTCGTTAACAATTCCACCCAATAACAACCACAAAAACAACTACAATTCAATATTCTACTCAGCAAATTCTTTTTGCAGAAAGCATATATGTTAGTATTAATTAATTGACTTTTATCACTATCATCTGCAATCAATTTACTATACCAAAAAATTCAAAAAAAATAACTTCAACCAAATTCACCCTATATTAACAGCCACAACTATTGACGCACGAGATGCTACCAAATACCTGGCCGCCGTGCGCCGACGTCTTGAGTCGAGCGGAGAATGTCCCGGCGGGTGAGAAATCCGAGTCTCCGAACGCGTGTTCGAGTGTGAACTGGATTTTTGAGTCCGGATCCGACGTCGAGTCGGACGACCGCCTGCGAGTTGGCGATTGAGTTGAAACGGGTCGGGTTACGGTCAACGGATCGGGAGATCGGCCACCTTCGAGGCCGAATTCATCGTCGTCGAGGAGGAGCTCGTCGGACTGGAAAGCAGACGACGGCGTCGCGATGAAAAGGCAGAGGTTCAGAAGGAGCAACGAGCAGATCAAAAACGGATACCTGGTTCTCATCGTGTACGCCGGCCGGTGGTGATTGGTGGTGCAGTCGAGGGTTCGTATACTACTATGTAGTTGGGGAAGATTGAGATTCTAATAGGTTTATATTATTATATCAAATACCCCTTGCGACTTCGAAAGTTATCAAATACCCCCTTAAAGTATACCTATTTGCATCAAATAGCCCATAAACTATTAAGAGACTATCAAATACCCCCCTCCCCCCCTAACTTCAATAAACTCACTTTTATTTCAAGTGTAATATTATTTTTTTATTTAATAATACATATATTTGACTAAATATCTCGCATATCTCATATTAATAATAAGTATATGAATAAGATTTTGTAACAAAATACAATATAAAATTATTTATACATATAACTATATTTTATATTTCAATTTGTTTAATTCCCTAACACTTTATTTAAAAAAAATATTTAATTGGGTAAATACTTATAAAAGTAAATTTTAATAAATATCATATTATATTGAAATATCCTACTAATGTTAATTGATAATATTTATTTAAACTTAAGTAAATCAAAATAAAGTATTATTTAATTAATTATATGTTTATCAAGGATTAAATAAATACAAAATAGATAAAATTACTTTCAAATGAGTTTTTTTAGCATATGGACTTTACAACATTAAATTACTAATAGTGATAATTATAAGGGGTAATATGCATAACACCCCTCAAACCAAACCTAATTAGATCTAGGGGACAAGCCCAATTAGATTTTTTTTATTAAATTCTTAATTCTGAACAAAAATTGTTACACATTCTTTTAATTTTTTTAAACCCAAAACTACCCTTAATATAATAAATAAAAAAATACATTACTCTCATTCTATTATTTTTTCTCTTCTTCTTCCTCTCTATTCTTCCGCCGCCCACCTCCTCTTCTTCTCTTCTTTTTCTCCCTTTCTCTACTTCCACGCCCCACGCCCCAATTTGCCCAACTCCTCATCTTCTCCCTCTCTCTCTCTTTCTCTCTCTTTCTCTATTTTCGCACCCTCTGTCTCATTCACTTTTTTTTTTCTTTTGCTTTCTTTTTCTTTCTTTTTAATTATTAAATATGATGTTTTAATAGATCTGCAACGGGACGATGGTGGCCAATTCAGATGCCCTTGTGCGGCGGGTCAATGTCCCTGACTCGCCTTGGCCGGGGAAGTGGCGATTGCATCACGGAGGGGTTGGCGAGATGTGTGCCTGCATATGTATTTTCGTTGTTTTTATAGCGGTGGCTAGGGCTGGTTATGATGAATTCATGGTATGTGTGCGTTTAGTTGCGTATACGGCGAGACGGCCGACGGCGACTGGTATACGTTTGCTAGCGATGCTAGGGTTCTAAATTGCAAAGGTAGGGTTTTGAAAATGACTCTAGTTGTCTACAAGTGTCTAACGGCGTTATGAATCGAAGAATCGACTGTTATTGAAAGCTTTTTTTTATGTTAAAAAAAAAACATTTTTTTGGCTCATTTGACCGCTAGAGTTTGGCGGCAGTTGCGTTTGGTTGCGAGTGTTGGTGACGGTTGGGAGTTATTGGCGGCTAGGGTTTGATAGTACTTCATAGTAAAACATAGTATACCATAGTATACAATAGTACTATACTATAATATATTGTGGTATACTATACTCTACTACATAAAAATATGTATATTCGATTAAAAAATGAAAAAGAAAAGCATGCTTTTGTTTTTATAATAATAATATAATTTTATGTAGAAAAGAAAAAGGAAAAAAATAATTTTATTTTATAATATTGTATACATGCTAAAATGAAGAAAGAAAAGAAAACGATAAAAATATTTTCTGTAAACAAAAATAAAAAATATTAGACGTCAAAATGAAACTATTAAATGTAGAACAAATAAAATATTAAATTTGTGAGTGGAAGGGCATTTTTGTAATGAATTTTATAAAGGATGTGAAGCAAATGTTTAGTTGGACTTGTCATTTAGTTCTAATAAGTTTTATCACCAGGACCTATATCTTAAGGCCCCTAATTATAATGATTAAAATAATAATAAAAAATTAAGATATATTTTTAGGATAAATACGACCACCCCTGCAAGTAATGCCAAATTACGAAAATCCCTTCATGTTTGCGTAATTACAATCATCCCTCAACTATGAATTTTCTTACACGTTTACTCCTGCATTGTCAAATTTATGGAAACCTTTTAGATTGTGTTTAATATTCTCCAGTTTGTATCCGTTTTATCTCATTCGAACTCCACATTTTGAAACAAGATGATTATAAGATATGAACTTATAAATATCAAATTATGGTACATCATAAACTGTATTTTTGCAAAAGAAAACGAGTACAAACTAGAGAATATTTCGTGGAATCTAAAAAGTTATGTTGAATTTCACACCATAATGGTGGACATGTAAGAAGATTCATAATTGAGGGGTTGGTTGTAAATACCAAAACATGATAATTTCTTTTCGTAATTTGACATTACCACATTAGTTTGCGGTGATTTACACATAATATTAAGATATATTTTTATGAGATTATATTTTTGAGGGAGTAATTAGCGATTTCCAATAAATATCAGTGGCCCAAACAGAATTTACCTAATTCTGTTTTTTTCCTTTTTTTTTTTAATTTTTTTTTTCTTGGAGAAACATTAAAGGCAGCGACTATTTGCAAGACGAAATTTACTTAGTGCAAGACCAATTTAATTTTTTTTATTAAATTCAGTATAAAAAGATTATAATAACCTTAATAAAATACGAAAAAAAAAAAAATTATTTTATTAATTTTCTTTTGCAAGACCAATTTAAAAAAAAATTAATAAAACAAAAAGAAAAAAGAAATTGAATTGACAAAATCAAAACGAGGAGGGAAGATTGAAGAAAACAAAAAAAATCAATTGCACCAAAAAACCGTTCGTCGCCCCGTCGCCCGCCGCCCCGTCGTCGTCGCCGTCGCCGTTGAAGTCCACCGCCGTCGCCCGTCGCCGTTGAACTCCGTTGTTGCCCCAACCCCGCCACAACAATCTCACGAAAAACAAGTAAAAATTACTTTTTGAATTAACTTTTTTTTGAGAAATAAATGTGATAAACATGATTTTATTGTTAGAATAATGAATTCAAGTCGTTTTAGAACATAGTTGATGATTCTAGGGTTCGATTGTAGCACTATTATATTGTTGAAGGAGTTGCGGTTTTACAAAAATCGACCTGTACTTGTCGTTTTTTTGGAAAATTTTCGACACATTGGCGTCGAAATATCCGCTTAATATCGACACCAGAATGTCGATAATTTCAATATAATTCGACAGTTAATGAGTGTCGAATTATTTTGACATTTTCGACACTGCAGTGTCGATATAAAGCTGATATTTCGACCTGTACATGTCGATTTTTTTGTACGTGAAATGAGGTGCGAAAAACGAGAAAAACGATCACAAAGTACAATATTTCTTACCTCTTTGTGTTCTTCGACCTTAGAATCCTCCATATTTATGTCTTGTGTATCCATAATGTCCTTCTTTTCAAGTTTTAGTAAGATTTGAGGGTTTTATGTGATAAGGGTTTTGAAGAATATGGAAGATTTTTTTGTGGAAAAAAATGTGTAAAATGAGGGTGAAGAAGAAGATGTTGGTGTTTTGTTGGGTGAGTGGGTTCCCTCTCTTTTTTCTTTTTTTTTATTCTTTTTTTTGTATTTTTTTTTAGTCTTGCAATAGCAATTAACTTAATTTAAATTAATAATATCTAAATTATTATTGGGGTTATATTTGTAATTTCCAGTCTTTATCTTAGTAAATTTATTTATATTTTGGTCTTGCATGAAGTAAGGTCTTGCACTTAGTAATTTTCGTCTTGCAAATATCTGCAGCCAACATTAAATCCTTCTCTTACCGAAAACCAAACCCTATCAGTGATAAAGAGGCAGACCAATTTAGATTCTAGAGAGAGAGAGGAGAGAAATTCAATTCTGCAGAAGAAGAAGCCATGGATGCGCTTAGGAAGCAGCTGGATGTTTTGATGGGAGCGAATCGAAACGGCGATACTGAGGAGGTGAGCCGAAAGTACTACGATCGTGATGTGTGCCGCCTCTTCCTCGCCGGACTCTGCCCCCACGAGCTTTTCCAACTCACCGTACGTTTTATACAACGCTCATCCAGTGGGGCTTCGCATTTTTAATTCGTTCCATTTTACTGTATTTTCTTGCTCCTTTTTATTTTTATTTTTAAGAAATGGCAAAGCATGCAACGGATTGATGTTAGGGTTTGATTTGATTTTACTTTTCAATGTTGCTTTCTTCTGTTCAATTTTGAGTTAATCATCATCACGTAATTTGAAGTTATTATGTTGATTAGTTTTAAAAAGTTGAGTGTATGATTTTCACGGAGTTTTGGAAGTTCGACTGTGCGGTTTATTCCATAACTATGCAGATTGTTCTGTTCAATTTTGAGTTAATCATCACATAATTTGAATTTATTATGCTGATTGGTTTCAAAAGTTGTGTGTATGATCTTCACTAAGTTTTTTTCGAGTTCGACTATGCGGTTTATTCCATAACCTCATTTTATTTTTGTTTTTTTTATTTGTTCTTTTTTTCTTAATGCAGAAAATGGATAAGGGACCATGTCCCAAAATTCATTCATTGCAGCTGAGGAAAGAGTATCCTTTCTATGGCGGATATGTGGAGATATTTGTGACATAGTTTATTATTTACTTTCAGATGTTCTTAGAAATTAGGTATATCTGTCTAGTCAATTTTGGAATTACAAAACTGGATTAGTTTGGGGAGTAGCCAAATTTTTCCATACGATTATTAGGAGAACAAAATCAACATCCGCACTGAGTTGCATTCTTTTAATTGCAAAAAAAACTTGGAAAAAAAGGTTTATCTTCCCAAAAGATGTGAGTTATACTCCGTAAACATCTTGATAGAGGTGTAGCTAAGGAAGAAAATAAATTTACATACTTGTGCTGCTGTGGTTTGTTCAGATGTTCATGTGATTTTCTTTAAATCACAAAATATTTAGCAAAACTTGTCAATAATACCGCAGCTGCTTAATGTCATGCAACATTAACATGTACTTGCATGGAGCGGTTGGATGACTAGGCTTCTATTATAATGTGACCTTGCAGCTTGAATTGGTCCTTGTTATAATTTAACTCACAATTCAGATATCAAGAAGCAAAGGCAAAAGATGTTGATAATTACGATAAGGACTTGGAGGATAACATAGACAGACTTATTGTTGAGTGTGATCGTAAAATTTCTAGGGCTTTGAAGAGACTCGATGAAGAGGATGCTAAAGCAGCTATAGCAATCTCGGTATCAGAAGTTACCCAGGTAGTTTTGTAAATTTCAATATTTCCCCGTTCTACCCCTTTACTTCAACAGCAGTAGTAAATATTGTGGAATTGCAGGCGCCAGATATTATTGAGATTTCGAAGCAAATAAAAGAAAAGATGAAAGAAGCTGATCAAGCTGGTAAGTCTGTTAGTGAGATGTGTGATTAATATCGGTATCGTAATTCAAGGTCTTGATAGGCTGTTGGTAGAAATAATATGAATAGTTTAGGTTGACTTGTGAGCAATTTTCTTGTTGGACAAATCTTTCATCATTCAAGTTATAGTTATAAGTGATTCAAGCAATTAACCAATCACACCTCTGGACATTCATCTGATGATGTTGCTAAACATTGTCTGACTTTATAGATCTCGAAGGCAATACAGACATGAAGATTCGAGCTTTGGAATTGCTTGACGAACTAAGAGCTACAAGAGCAGACAAGCAGGTTTTAAACTCTTTTAGACATTTACTTTAGTCTTTATATCCATTGAAAATGATATAACAGTTAGCAATAGAAGTAGACTTTTAATTATGTTCAACGGCAGGCGACGCTTCTTTTGGATGCTTTCAACAGAGATCGCGCATCTCTTCCCCAGCCCTTGATAAATGCTCAGCAGTTGACACCAGTGCCAGCAGCTATTTCAGACCCTCACATACAAGAAATGATCAATGAGAAGCTAAAGAAAGCTGAAGAGCTTGGTAAGATGTGCATGTGGTTTGTCATTAAAGAATTTGTAAGCTATGTCAAATAATGAATATTTGTACGTATTGTTTTTAGAGTATTTTCAAGATTTTTAAAATACTGTTTGTATGGATAAAAGGCTGGATGTACCTAGAGTCGAAGAGTCCTTTGGGTTTTGAACATCATAATGTAGCTATCCAAAATGGATATTAGCTAGATGTAAAAATGTCAAGTAATGCTACCTTTGTGGGTGTTGACTATCTTGGTTATGTTTCCCTTATGTGTATTAATTAGGTGAACAAGGAATGGTAGATGAAGCACAGAAAGCATTGGAAGAGGCTGAAGCACTCAAAAAGGTTCGTTATATTTCAGTTAGCATGTCACTCATCATGTGTGCATAGTCATTCTCAGCCATTACTCTATTATATCGTTCTTGGAAATCATACACCTTGTACTTTAATTAGATTAACCGTTACTTTCATTTGATCCAGCTGCCAGCCCGACAGGAACCTGTGCTGGATTCCTCTAAGTACACTGCTGCTGATGTGCGAATCGTAAGTCGGCTGTCTTGCTAGTCTTGCAATTTAGATTTATTAATTTGTTGCTGCCGCCTGCCAGTTGTAGTTTTCTTGTGTGTTTGGTTAGTTATTTCTTGGACAAGATTTTGTCTCGTAGCAAATTTGATGGAACTACCTGTAACTTGATATGAGTCTGTTTTGGAGTGCTTATGGCTAAATTTTGAAATATTTTCAAGGACCATTTCCATTTCATTTGGGGAGTCGAGGTATTTTAGGAAAATAATTTGAGAAAGAAGTAATTTTTGTTTGTATTTTGGGTTGTAGGTTGAGAGGAGACATTATGTACTATAATAGGCAAATCATGTCTCAAGTATCTGAAGAAATACAAGAATTTGTGATAAATTAATTTTTGTATGTACTTCAGCGGAGACCTTTTTTTTACCGTAGCGTCAAAATTATGTCTAGGAATTTCAAATTTGAATTCTAGAATTGAATTACAAACACAAGTTTTAAAAACAAAAGGAGCGAAAGTCTTTAGAATTGTAGAGCTGCAAGTATGACATCATTTTTCTTTTTCTATGTGAAGCATTTCAAGTTAATCTTGCGTACTGTTATGACAGAACCGTCGTTCTGAATATGATAAGGAACAGCTGGTTGGGATAAGATAACCACTATTCTTATATGGTTTTTTTGCTTGCTTGCAGACTGACCAAAAGCTTCGTGTCTGTGACATTTGTGGTGCATTCTTGAGTGTTTATGACAGGTAAATGTTTGCTAGCCTTGTAGTTAGAAGAATTTCTTCCTGGTAAATAATGAGAAAGTAGTAGTAAGAGTTTTGTGTACTACATTCTTTGACATGGGATTACACCTCCTTGTCACCAGCAGGCTTTTGGGCCCAGTTTTACGAGGATAACTTTTCCAGCTAAAGAATGTGCGTTATTTCCTGTTTATGTTTGTTGATGTTGCTAGAAAATTTACCAGGCTCCTATATTACAATTCCTTCATGATATAAGTCCTTTAAGATTGTTATGACAAGGGGTTTTGCCTATGTGGTTTTCAGTGATCGCCGATTAGCAGATCACTTTGGTGGAAAGCTCCACTTAGGCTATATGCTGATCCGTGAAAAGTTAGCTGACCTTCAGGTATGCCTACACAATCTGTTACTCTCTCTGTTTCACTCAACTTTTTTCTTTCATGAGTTTAAGATGATTTCTTTGCATGTTAAGAAGTGCTTCAACTTCTTAAGGTGGAACATATATGCTCATATTTTTGCACGTTTGAGCAATATATTCTAACCCCTTTCTCCTTTTATCGAGCGTAAAAGTATATTTTCCATTCTAATACTTAGTGGCTTTTTTTTTTTGCTCTGTCCAAAAGATCATGCATCAACACCTAAGTTGGCACTGTAAATATTTTGCTTCAGGTGCTGCTATAATCTTTCAATTTCTTCTATAGAGATTCTCAGTTTACTTGTCTCTGTGAGTTTTTCTATCCTAGTAGAAGAGCCCTCAATTACATAAATTGCTGAATTATTGTGTACATTTGCGACATGTTTGAGATATTAGGAAACACGGAGCTGAGTTGTTTCAGGTAATCATCAGTTTGGGTATTGTTGGTATGCTCTTTGAAGTTTTCTGAAGTAATCATAAACCAACTAGTGTTGATTAAACTCATCACACGAACAAGGTTTGAAAATTCGAAGAATGTAGTTTGGTAAAATGAGGTCTACTTAGCTTTACTAAGCTGCAGCTTAGCTTGGTTTGTTTCTGAACCCAAAAGTAAATTAAATGAGGTACTTTGGTACCCGTACCCATTTTTCACTTACTATCGAACTAGTGGAGATGAGGGTATCTTTATTGAGTACGGGTTTATGAGATTCCATTTTCGGTCTTCTTTGACTGGCTGTACCATTTAGCATGACTCCTCTTTCAGTTTGGTGGTAGTCTTTTTTTTTTTATCCTTTTCTTATTGCATCTACAAATTCAGTAGCTGTCTATGCAATATTGAGTCGTGACCAAGCGACCCACTAGACTCAGTCCAAACAAGCCAAATTCCACTATTCAAATATGATGCAATCAAAGGTAATAGCCACTGCTGTATAAGCTAAGCTCGCACTCTATTGTTGATTCAACTTCATTTGCTTGGGTTAAGCGTTGGAGTGTGGAGCATGTACAGTAGATTGGCAATGGATATAGAGAAAGGTGTTTACTTGACAATTTTACTCTTTTTGACCAAGTTATACCGAGTTTTGATGAAAAGGCAGTGAAGTTATATACGCACCATATATTTCTGTGCTTTCAGTTCACCTGGTACTATTTTCTATATCTACCTAAAGAAATTTGATTATGTTGTACCAAATGCATTTTTTTTTATTTGATCATTGCCAGGAAGAGAGAGACAAGAAACGCAAAGCCTATGAAGAAGAGAGAAGGTTGATATAAAATTCCTGTTAAAAAAAACGCAAGCACGTTTTCCTCTCTTAGCTTTCTAGTGGTGCGTTTGAATTAACTTGTTAGTTTATTCAGGTCAAGAGATCGGATAAGCCGTGAGAGAGAATCTAGCAAGGATCGAGATAGAGGTGATAGCCGTGAACATGGAAGAGATATTGACCGTAGGAGCAGAGATCGGGACAGGCATTATGACCGTGACTACGAACGAGAGCGTGAAAGAGATAGAGAATATTCCCGCAGCTATGATTCTAGAAGTCACCGGAGATCTCGATCCCGCTCAAGAGATCGCACTAGGGACTATGACCGCCACAGGTTTTGTATCCATCTATATCTTACATTCTCTTGGTTACTTGAAATATATCCTTAATTATTATATTTATTAAGACTATTGAACTCTGGTACATAACTAAGATGACTAAATGATTAAAACCTTATATATTACAAGTTGTTTTTGTAATTATTATTTATTATATGAAAATCCTGACATGCCTTTATTTTTTTTTTTTTTTTCCTTCCGTTATTTTACCAGGCGTTATGATCGTTACTAGCTGGACAATCGATATTTCATATAGGGAATGGAACTGAAGTTTGTATCTTCTGTTTATGAAGGCTGATGGTAACTAGGAAGATTTGATTTAATTTGGCTTAAAATGAATTCCGAATTCGGTAGTGAGTGAAATGGATGTTGTCTCTATGTTAAATTCTGCGAAAACTGTAGGGATTTATTTGATGCGGGATTGCTTAGCTCCATTTGCTTGAACTACATGGTGTTATGACCAATTGTTCTGTTTTCGTTTTGACTCGAAAATTTTGGGTTTTGTGAAAACTCTTTAAAGCAGTTGTTGCAACAGCTTTGAGAAAGAATGGAAGAGATTGAAGGACGACAGCCACCGTGTATTCTGAACTTGAATGGTAAAACTTGGACTCATTTTTGCAGGTTTTGACAAAACAAATTCATTCTTTTCTTTTCTTTTTTTTGGTCAAAATGTGAATTTTATTATGTTCATGAAATTAGTATCTGTATTTTCTGTTTTGCATTATAAATACTTAATAGCATGGAGGCAAAATTGTATGACATCAATCAATAGGCAAAATTGAGGGAGGTGATAAATGTCAATTCAGTTTTAATAATTTTGTTGACTTTAAACGTGATTTTGACCATTTTGAAGATTGAATTTGGCAAAACTCAAAAATAAGAACTTGCAGTTCTTTCAATTAACTTTCTAATTGAACACGAATCACCAAGATCAGATGTTAGGTCAGAAAGATATACATGCATCTTTGTTACCAAATATCCAATCTAACTGATTCAAGTTGGATTAGAAAAGTTAATTCAAAGAAATGCAGTTTTCATTTTTTTTATTTTACTGAAACGAAAAAAATGGTCAAAATCACGTCCGAAAATAAAATAGTATTAGTAAAATTGAAACTGTCATGTCATGCATTTCTCAATGTACGTTAGCTATGCTATCATTTTAAAATTCTGAAAAATGTTAACGTGTCCCTCAAGAGATAGGCTAACGGTTAGAACAAGTGAACTTGTGTCAATTGACCAAAATTCGATTCTCCTTACCAACGATCGCTAGATCAAACTTGTCTCAATTTTTTTCTTCGAAAATAATTCCTTTCTCAATTCATTACGACCACACTCATCGTAAAGTCAAATTTATAAAGTAGATTTTACTATTAATATTGTAATATACACGAATTCTCAAATCATTTTCTTAAAGTAGTACTCTAAAAAAAATATAGGGTAAATAACACCCACACCCCTGATGTATGCTTAAATAACTTTAAGGTCCATGTGGTATCGATAATTATACTTACCCCCTAAAACGTAGTTAGAAACTCTAATGGGATAATGCATTGGATATATTATTCCGATAGAGTTCTAATAGACTATTACTTTTAGCTACTGGTGGAGATAACATAGAGTTATGGGGAGTTATAGGGTGACATGGCTCCCCCAATATTTCTTAAATTACTCATAACTTTTTGTTGTCTCCACCACTTCCTGAAACCAATAGTCCGTTAGAACGCTATCGTAATAACGTATCCAATGCATTATCCCATTAGAGTTTATAACTACGTTTCAAGGGGGTCAGTGTAATTATCGATAACACAGGGACCTTAAAGTTATTTAAGCATACCTCAGGGATGTGGGTGTAATTTACCCAAAAAAATAATAAAAAAAATACACCACATCGAAATATATGGCCAGGCCGGTGATATTAGTCACCCTTTCTCTCTCTTCATCGTAGAAGAAACTCCTCTCTCTCTCTCTCTCTCTCTAAACCCCTACGAAATAAAATTGTTCCCCGTACAAATCTCTCCTTCCCACGCAGAACTCTCTGAAAAAAATGGCTTTGCAGAATCAAACGACGACGATCGCAATGCTCATATTCTTCGCATCATTATCTCCCAACACAGCGGACGAAAATTCCCAATCCTCCCCGGCGGCGTCGTTTTACGACGTCCTCAGCTCCAACGGTCTGCCAATTGGCCTCTTCCCCAAGGGCATCTCCGATTTCTCAATCGACCCTACCTCCGGCGCCTTCCGCCTCCGCTTGCTCTCCTCTCCTTCCCCCTGCGACGCCAACTTCGAGACGCGCGTGAGGTACGAGCGCGACATCTCCGGCAGCGTGAATTACGGGAGGATCGCTAATTTGTCGGGGGTTTCCACCCAGGAGCTGTTTCTGTGGCTCCCCGTGAAAGGCGTGCAGGTCGATATTCCGAGCTCCGGTTTGATTTACTTCGACGTCGGCGTGGTTTCGAAGCAGTTTTCGCTGTCCTATTTCGAGACGCCCAAGGAATGCAACGCCGTGGAGGATGCCGATGGTGATGCTGGTGGCGGAAACGACGTCGTTTTGCTTGATGATGGCCGTGTTCGGATTGCTGAGGTTAGTAATTATTGAAAATGTTTTATTTCGTTTTTATTTTCTTATGAAACTCGTGTCTCGATTTACGATTTACGATCAATGGAGATATTATTATAAGGAAATTTAAAAACTCGAATAGCCATCGCTTCAATTTTGATATGTGTTTGAGTACTTGTTCTTGTTTAATCAATTGTACACCAGAGCGAAATTCGTCAGCATTCAACGTGTTTTATGTAGCCTATTAGCTTTCGACAAGGTGTGTAACGGGTATTTCTCGGTAGTTTATTCAAATCTTGGATTACATTCAAGAATATTTAGTAATTGGATGAGCTCCGACAGAGTCGAATGATGACCGGTGCAATTCTTTTAGGGGATACACGAAGAGAGAGAGGGAGAGACATAGAGAAAGAGAGGGAGGGAGAGGTACTAATTGGAATATACTATGTCAAAAATAAGTGGGCTAAGTGAGATAGATTAGATTTTTCGATAAAAGACGAGCTTTTCTACGCGATAGCGAAAAACAAACCGGAAACGAGGCAGTGTTTAGGATATGCGGCAGCCAACAACTTAAAAGAGAGACAACTACTATAGGAGTAAAATACGAGACAGCAACTATGCTCGGGCGCACATTTGTTATATCGCATTATTTTTCGTTTCCTTTTATCGGTTATCGATGTTGCTATTATCGTATTCAATCGCCTGCAGAGCTTTACTTGGTCGTTTCCTTATGTATGGAATCCACAGTGGTGACCTTAAGTGTTTATCTTTTCCTTTTGCAGAGTCAATCGGGAGAATTTGTGAGGACACGTTTTACGAACCAAGAACCGAGAGCTGTTTCGTGAGTATCAAACAAAATAATCTGATACATTTGATTGCCGGCCCTTCCCTCATATATATCGGGGCAAATGTTGTAATTGTGTAAACGACGGGGGACTACAGGATATATATATATATATATATATATATATATATATATATATATATGTATGTTTTTCATTTCTATGAGTGTTTTTTTTCTGATGGCTGCAGTTGTATAATAGTTAACATGCACTCTCTCTCCCATCTGTAAAAAGGTGTAGTGTGCACCTTGGAATTCTGTAAATGAAAAATAGGATTGTGTACGAGAAAAATATATCATGTTAAAATGGTTTTTTTTTTATTTATTTATTTGCAATGTAAACTGATGGAATTCTGTTGTGATGTTGTAAGAAAAAAAACATTTAAAATAATTCAAGGACAAAGTTATTACTAAAAAATATCTTGAAGTAGGAGAAAAATGTGTGTTTTTTCTCTATAAAAATGAATAAAATTATGTATGGAGTTAGTTATTATGATGAAATTAAGTTTAAACACTAGTCAAGAAATAGGTACTAGCTAACACCTCTATGTAGCACGGACATGGAAAAGGGGAAACGACGTGTCACAAAAATGGTGATACATAAATTTAGGGGAAACGTATAAATATAAAAAGTATATGGGTATATTTATAAATATATTATATAAATATATATAAGATTTTATTTACATATATATTTTTTTTTTTATATATTTCCATACAACCATATTCAAAATAAGTATTATTATTTACTATCAATTTGCAGTAAATCATTAAATCATGTAAATGATTTAGGAAACAACAAAAAGAAATTGGAAAGTTGCTGCTCTTCAAACATTTTTCTAACTTTTTAGAAATTTCAAAATGGTCCATAAAGTATCCAGCAAGTGTTCTCGAGTGCGAAGTCCAAACTATTGGAATGGGTTGGCCCAATAAATAATTCAATCGATCCAATAAATTACAATATATAATAAAGGGTGAATTACAAAAACTTCATGAAGTTAGGTTAAATTACTAAAATCACTTTCACCTATTCGTAATTACCGAAATACCCTTTATGTTGTCTCCGTCTTACACCACCAATCCCCTATAGTGTGACTTAGGAATCGACTTTACACAGTTTCGGGTATCTTCTTTTATTTCTCACCTGTTTAACATAAGGTATAATAAACTATACACGTTTTCTGTTAACAGTAAATCGGAGGGGGATTTTAGTAATTACGGATAGGTGTGGGCATTTTTCGTTATTTAACCAAAATTCAGGGATTTGTTTGTAATTTACCCTATAATAAAAACAAAGTTAGAAAAAGGAAAAATGAAAAAGAAAAAAAAGAAAATTAAAATCTGATCCTCGCTCTTCTTTAAACCACAAACAAAAAAGGGAAAAATAAAAACGAAAAATATACATAATAGATTCCTGCACTGAATAATTTCGCCATAGTCAAATTGATTCACGAAGCTCTGTTCTCCCATTTTCCATTCGATTCTAACACTACTATCTCCGTACGAGCAGCCGACTCTGAATCAGTGAAGAAGATAACTGCAATTGATTGATGGTAATGGCAGCAGTAAGAGCTCCAATGGCAGGGATAACTTCCTCTACGGTTACCCCCTCTACACCGTCGTGCAATAGAGGGGTTATTATTGTCAAAGCGCATCCCTTCCGACCTTCCTTTTTTGGCCATGGAGGTAATTTATACTGAATTACCTATCTATTTTCTGGTTTTGATGATTGAGTGTACAACATTTTCAGCGTACGGTACTGTTTACATGATTTTTTGTGGCTTTCATCTGTTTTGTTGTTGGTTTTCATTTTACCTAGGTTGTTTACTGGAAATGTTTGTTGTGAAATTGTTTGTTTCAAGTAGCATAAGATGGTAATTTTGATATTGTTTTTTTTTTCCTTTTCCCCCTTATGTCTAGATGCACAGTGTGTTATATGCAAGCAGCTTCTCTTATTAGTATAAAAGATATCATAGTCCCGTAATGCCTGGTTCGGTCGGAATTATATATCGTAGCATAGAAAGTATGAAACTGGCCAGCAGAATACCTGTGGATAGTTGAAGGTTTTTTTTTACGAGGAACTTTCTGATCTGATCCAATCTGATTTTGGTGTTCGATTTATCAAACAACGTTTCTGGTTATTTTTCATTGACAGCAAGTTTGGTACACTCCGTAGTTTCGAGTACTTCTTTTGATTCCTGTTGCGTGTTTTGATTTAAGTTGCTGTATGTTATATATGATGTGAATTGTGAATGAACATAATAAAATCATGAGTCTCGTTTGAAAGTCTAAATTATTTTATATGCAACTGCTGGACCTGTTGCTGAAGTGCTTATACTTGATATGTGTAAGTGGTCTGCTTCTATTTTTGCTCTTTAATAATGGATCACTTGTGTTTTCATTTTTTTCAGTTGGCGCTCCAAAATATACAGGGATACGGTTATCTTATTCCACTAGGTCACGATGCAATAGTCATGGAGGTGGCGCTCTTGGTACTCAAATGAACCTGTTTGATCGATTTGCTAGAGTTGTTAAGGTTATTTAGCATTTTTGAGTTCTTTTAGCACTATTGGCTTCATTGATAAACCAACAAAATGTTAGTAACCATGTTTTATATCTTTTAAGTGTAGTCGTATGCAAATGCTCTGATCAGCACCTTTGAGGACCCAGAGAAAATATTGGAACAGACTGTTATTGAAATGAACGACGATTTAATCAAGATGCGTCAAGCTACAGCTCAAGTACGTCATGCCATTATTTCTTCCCCGTCGCTACTCTTTTGTTTCCTCTATGAATTAAATCCTTTTAGAAGGAAGTGGGACTCGATCTTATTTTGCTGTATTTACTAAAATGTTATGTTGTACATGGGGAGTGTTATCTCAAAGGCTGTTATTCATAGGATGAAAGGATAGTTTTGTAATTAGACCAAAAGATGAACAGTTTGACCGTGTACCTGTTAAACTTCTAATGACATTTTAGCTATTGTATAGATTATAATCATAAATATGGCTATGGAATTAGGAAGGTTTGGATTGAGCGAGTTTCACTCAGAGTGATAGACATCAATTGGGGGATAAATTTAGCCAGTCATTTAACTATAACCGAAAAAGCCTGCAATTCTTAGAAGAGCTATAATGGAGGAAGGTAAATTATTACTATAAATATTGTTTTGCAGGTTTTGGCTTCTCAGAAGCAGTTGGAGAACAAATACAAATCTGCACAACAAGCTTCTGAAGATTGGCAAGTGTCATCAAATATATATCTATTATTTTAATCCCTTCCATTTCCTTGAAGCTGTGACCTAAGCTTTAGTTTAATCACAGGTATCGTAGAGCGCAACTTGCTCTTGGAAAGGGCGAGGAGGACCTTGCTCGTGAAGCTCTTAAGCGTAGAAAATCTTATGCTGTAAGGACCTTAAATTAGTTAGACGATGAAAATTATGCAACCTTTTTCTGATGAGTTTAGTTACTGATAAAAATCGAGAAGCATCTTTTCAAAAGTTGTTTCATAATGCATTTTGTTGTGTTCGGTTCGGATTTTTGCCTAAAAGTGGATCTGTGTGAACTTAATACTACAGTGACCGAGTTAATCCAAAGATATATTTTTTTACTTTGTGAATATATCAATAATTTATTCAAACAATATTAAAGTACCATGTTAATTTATCCAGTAAAGCAGAGATATTACATCTTGAGTCTGGGTTCAATGAGTAGCATGGTGAATATGTGTTATATTCCTACTAAACAACTTATACAAGACAACATGGTATACGTTACTCCAAAAGTAGAATTTTGGCATATTATCTACATGCAAGGAAAGTAGCACTCCTTTTAAATTCGACAAGGTTTTCTTCAAGTTTGATGTTTCTTGATTGTAATTTGATCGGTCACTTTTATGTTCCCCTCCACTTGTTTGCTTTTTCTAGTTAATAAGTGGGTAGCATGAGCAAACATTTTGAACTAATTCATGCCTGAAAAGGGATTTCCTTATGTCACCACCAATGTTTTCTTTATTGATTCACGTTTTACAAAACTTGCAGGATAATGCAAGTGCTTTGAAAAATCAGCTTGATCAGCAGAAAAGTGTTGTTGATAACCTTGTCTCCAATACAAGGGTGAGTTACCGTACAAAATGTTACAATTATTTTCCTTTTTCAGTTTATATTTCAGAAATACAATGCATTTGCTTAGTCAGGCACATATGCATCACGCGGCCGTATTAATGCATTTCTTATAGTAACCTGGTTTTTCTTAGCTATTTCTTTCCTTTCTTTTGATATATAATAAACTATCTACATTAGAAAATCATCATTCTGATTATCATGCAGCAACCTGTAAAATTTGGTCTTATTATCCATTCTATCTTGTTTGACAGTTGTTGGAAAGCAAAATACAAGAAGCTAGGTCTAAAAAAGATACCCTGAAAGCACGAGCACAATCTGCTAAGTCCGTTCTTGCCCTTTGTTACTACTTTTTTCGTCAATTCTCCTTGGCAATTTACTCGTATTGGTTGTAACCGGCTGTATTTTCTTCAGGACTGCGACAAAAGTGAGTGAGATGTTGGGTAATGTGAATACAAGCAGTGCTCTGTCTGCTTTTGAGAAGATGGAAGAAAAAGGTAAGATCATCAAAGTTATGCCTTTTGTTGCAATACAAGCTTTCAACCGAGCTCTATTATATTTGTTCCAAATTGTCCCGTTGCAATACAAGCTTTCAATCGAGCTCTGTTATATTTGTTCCAAATTGTCCCGTATCTTATGTGGAGTTTTAGAATATCATGTTCATAAATAGATTACTATTGTTTAAACCTTGCACTGAAACACAATAATTGCACCTTAACCACCTCCTTTAGCGGTCGAGGTAGATAGCCACCAAAAACACATACGCAAACTCATGCGCACATACGAGATAATACTGTAGTCTTCATCCTTAATATATGTAGAAATTTCAGTGATATCAATCTTGCATCTCATTCTTTAATAGCTCATGTATAATATGATAACAAAAATGTAACTCCAGTAGTGATTTGTATGACGCAAGTTACCTTAAAGATTATCCATGTTCTTCTTGACAGTTTTGGCGATGGAATCTCAGGCGGATGCGATTAATCAACTGAGCAGTGATGAACTTGAAGGAAAGGTACTTAGATGTGCTCTAGTTATCTGAGACTCAACAATTTTAGTTCTATTGCTTTCGTCGCTGTATTTGTTTTGTCGAGTTGCTAGTTCTATGATTAGCAGCTATAATATAACCGCTCGACTTTAGCCAACCCTTGAGATCCTTATTTTCCATTCATCTATTTCCTCTTATGTTGCATGACAGTATGTCTGTGGGTGGAGCCAATGAATTTAGTCCATCGCCCGTTTAAACAATCTTTTCTGAACCAAGGCATGACCTTCATCACATAAAAACCGTGATTGCATTTCTCGTTTTTTTTTTTTTTCCTTTTTTTGGCAGTTTGCTTTACTAGAGACTTCTTCAGTTGATGATGATCTTGCCGACTTGAAGAAACAACTCTCCGCGAAACACCTAAGGTACTTTCGTGTATATATATTCTCTTG